AACTCTCTGTCCTCTTAAAGCAGCCCCGGTGAGAATTCACCACCATGAAGAACCATGTGACCACCCCGCACCCAACAACAGTCGGCGGTCACAGCACAGTGTGTTAATAAGTCAAAGTGAAACAAAGCAGAACTGGAGAGGCATGCCTGCTCAGCAGAGTCCCTCCCCGATGAATACAAAAAAAAAAGGAAAGAAAATGGTTGATGGGTGGATCAAAGGAGAAAAACACTGGAGGACTCACACCAAACCGACTGCCTTAACATTAAAATTCAAACAGGACAATCCAAGGGTATGGTGACTAAGAAACACTGAATAGTTTTGTTGAAACTGTGAAACTGGGTGCGTATTTGAGCTGTACACAGATAGATTATCCCTGTTTAGTAAACAGGATGCAACATCTTCCAGTAGGCGGATTTGTGCAAAAAAGACTAAAATGTTGCTCCAGAAAAAAGGGGGGGAAAAAATACATATAATGTCAACTGGAAGTTGTCATTCGTGCATTTTCTATTTTCTGTGGGGAGTCAAAGCTGAAATCACCACATCTTTATCATTCGTTTTTATGTATACCTCTTGTTTAAAAAAAAATTACATTTGAAAAAAATTTGTCAAAGACAAACGATTGAGTCTTGCGTCATGTTCAGTAAGCAGTAATTAGTTGTCTTATTTTGTTAATATCTCACCACATCAAAATCTAATTACAGTTTTTTTTTTTTTTTTTTTACCATTTATTAATCGATAAACAGATTTTGAATTAGCAAGCATAAGCCCCTGTACCAAGCCTTTTTATTATTTTTTCTCTGTAGTTTCTTAACGTGACTGCAGGGACAGATGGCTGAAAAGCAGATGCTACCCTCCACCACAGAATCATAGGAGATACACAGCATCTTGTGGCATACTACAATTAAAGTTACCCAGGAAATAAATTCATTTTAGTTTGACCAAAACCAGCATTTTAAAACACATTTGTTCAAGATAAATGTATCAGCTTGTAAAAGCCATGATTACAGATCCTGATAACATAGTTCAGGACGCAGTCATTCTGCTTGTATACAAGTATGAAATGGAAATAGACGCCTGGTGCTCTCATTCACATATTTTCTGCTCTTTTTCAGTTAGTCTGTCTCTGGGTAAATAGTTACCTGGTCCAAATGTCCCTCTTTTTCAGCCCCGAAAACCCATCCCTCATCCTTCGTTAATTTTATTTTCCTCAGTGACGTACCCAAGAAGTGCATATTCTGCTGCCATCAGGCAGAGCAATACCTTGATTTCTGCCAACCTTTTTTGATGTTACTGTCTGTCCATATTACCTAAAACTCTTGCTAGAAAGATGTTGGAATCTAGCATTTGCAATGACAGCCATGTCTCCATAAAACTCCTAATCCTAATATCCTTGCTTTGCCCTTGTGAATGGATTAAGCTCATCCATTTTACTTGGGGCTGATCTGACGATATATGTATGAAGACTTGCCTCAAACTGGTTCCTTCCCAACATTCGCAGTTTTTTCTCCTGCAGCTCTACCGAGATTTGCAGAAACTAGCTGGGATTTCAAGAGGCCTAATTAGCTGCTCCTATAGGAAAAAACTCATTTTTAGCAGGATTAGGATCTGATCTACATCCTGTTGCTCATCACTCCATTTGGCATCTGCGAACGTCAGCCGTTGGGTCAGCTCCTGTGCCTATAATGACCAAAGAGTGGAGCAGAATTTTACAGCCTGTTGCTGTGTTAATGAAGTTGGCAACCATACCATGACACCATATTTTTCTGTATTCTTTTTTAAAGTATTTTAGTTTTTTCTCACGTTACCATTAACTGACCTGCAGCTGAACTCAAGAGACTCAAGCTTTTTATTACATGGTTTTAAAACATCAAATAGCACCAAATTTGAATAAAGTCCTCTGATTACATGAGGCTTGCATGCTCAAAAACATAGTCGGTCATTACAGTGACATACATGTGTTTTTAAACTTTCCAAATGGATTTCAGCACCAGGGTAAAGTTTACGTGTTTATCTTATTTTGGCGTAGACACATACCTTTAAAGAACAGGTTGTCACCATGTTAATGTTTTCGAAATGACTCATCATAGTACAAATGTTTTGATTTCCTTACTTTTAGGGAGTAAGCGTCCAAAAAAGTGACAGATAATGAGAGACACATCAGGATCTGTCTGCCTGAGCTCAGCAGGTCACACTCACTGATTGATCACATTTCATCACGATCATAAATCAGAACGGCAGCTGAATGCGGGAAATGTCAAAGCATAAAGCTAAAAAGCGCCTGGTAAAACGAGCAAAAAATTTCCTCAATTTATTCCCTTTATTTTCAGACAGATTAAAGATTTTTGCTGATCTTTTTTTTTTTTTTTTTTTGCTGAAAAAGAACCAGTGCGTTTCAGATAAACACAAATGCATGTGCAGTAAATAACCCAAGCCAGAAGGATGAGCTGAGTAAAGACCATCCAGGCTCCTCTGTGTGCATGTGTTTATCTGTTGGTTTATGTGTCAGTTACTTGCGGGATCCCCTGCTGAGAGCAAAGATGTTGTAAACAAGGCACCACACATGATGTACTGCGGCGGGCATCAGTGAATGTGTCCCCTTCGAGAATATGCAATAAACACACAAACACGTGCAAATGTCAGGACAATGAGGCAGGTGTGAGGCCCAGAAAACTAATAAAGCAGCAGCGAACATATGTGAGCACGCTTTGCACACATATGCCAATAATGAGCCGGCACAGTGTGACCGCTCGCAGATGAAGCGAAAAGCGTTGATTATCTCTTAACAACGCCGCGTGTCAGGGTCTGGGAAATATTAGACAATAAGTGAACAATCTGTTCTCCCGCCGTGATGGATGCAGGGGGAGGTGGGCAGGTGGAGAGGCCGGGCTGCCGGGTGGAAGCGTCTCACGTTGAGGTCCTGGTGGAGTGGCAAACCAACCAACGCTAAGAGATGCGCCGGGAAAAAAGCTTCACCGGTGGCAGCTCCGCATCACACCTGACAGGACTTAGAGGATTTATTGCTAACACCTTGGTGGCGAATACCACAGGGCCCCTTCAGGGGTCTTGTAAAGCCCTCGCCTTTTTCTGGGCCAGGGCTGTTTTGGCAGCGCGCAAAGGACCCGCAGCAAAGACGGCAGGTGTGGCCATAACGTTTTGGCTCACCCGTGTATCGCACATTGCTGGCTGTCCACACAGGAGGTAGGACAGATACATAATCCATACACACACACACACAGACACACACACACACACGGCATTTGCCGTAGACGAGCGGTATACATTTGTCTGATAAGAAAGGTCACTTTTGTCATCTCAAAGCACACGGACCACCTCTAGCTCCACTTTTAAAGCTTCGGTGGAAGGAAAAAAGGAGGTCAGCCGTTCCTCTGGACACCTCACTCAGACAGTCGTAATTACAGACTAAACCGCGCTGCTCTTTTCCACCATGTCATTTGAAATAGTGGATTAAGAGCAGATTTGAAGCGCTGCCATCTGTGTTTTGCACCAGAGTCTGCCTCCTTATCTCATCTGAACCATCCACCTCTCACACAGCTCCCTTTTTTTTTTTTGTCTTTCGATTCAGAGGTCGTTCGGCTTAGGGCCTGGAAACTGGGTCATCTGGGTGTTTAAAAAGCCAAAAAATAAATAAAAAAAGGAGCTGGACACTGGCTGCAAAGCTGCCTGGACCACAGACAGGTAGGGGGAGAAAAAAGCATTGAGCGATTGGTTGAATGGAGGGGGGACCGACAAGTAGAAAAGGTCAGGACGGGAACAGCACAGTCCTGTGTGGCTGGAGGGGGAAATATTTTTGGACAGTACGCTGAGATTGTGGCGCCAGACAGTCACTGCTCTTGCTCACTTCTGGTTGCAGGGGGCCAAGGCGAAGGCCAGAGGCCGTCGAGGTCAAGCTCTGCACCTCTTCTGCTGACAGACAGGAGGAGAAAGAGGGTGTGAGGAGGGCAAAAGAAACCGTGCCGCGGTAGGTTCTAAATAAAACCGACACCGCTCGCCTTGTGCACGTACACACAGACACACACACACACACGGCAGAGTCGGGTGGCTTTGGGTCAAGATGGTACACGAAAGACCGGCTGGGTCCGCACTTTCATTATTGAGGCGAGTGACAGGTCAGGAGGGCCACCCGTCCACAGGGGCCTCTGCTGTGAAATAAGAAACCGCCGAGGTTAATCCAGATGGCACAAGCGCTACTCGAGTAATGGATATCGGGTGGACGGATTAAAAAACTATTAAAGTTCAGCTAAATGTGCGTATTGCAAATTGCAAAGCTTGTCTGTGAGTTACTTTCTTGTACTTATCAACCAAACTCTCTCTCCCCAAAAGCTTGATTTTAAAAAATTGCCATTTTTTTTTACTTTTCAGCTGACTTAATTAGATATTTTAGGATCTCACATTATTTATTTTTGAATAACAGTCTGTGTCGCGTTCTTTTTCACAGAGCTGTCACGCGGGATTTTAAACAAAAAAAAAAGCTTCAGATGTTTCTATCTCAGAGCTGACAGTTGGGCCGTGTTAGCGTCAGTGTTTGACGGGCAGCAGCTGGCAGAGCGTGTCAGCGTTTCTCTGCAGGACGTGAGGGTCCAAGTAAAGAAACCTGTGCTGTGGCCTTCGCGTCACCGGCAGCGTGGCGCTAAAGAATGAGTACCAAAGTGACATTTGCACGTGCAGGCTGTTTTAAACGTGCGTCTGCAGGGCAGCTAATCGCCTGTCCAGCCTGCAGGCCCAACTCGGCTCGTTCAGTTCCGCCACTCAACAAGCTGAGGTGCACGACAAAATTATGGCTCTGGTTAGATAAGATTAAGTGGGTAACTGTCTACCATCAGTGTTAATCTCTAACACCGTCCATGAGGTCAAGCTGAGGTACGGGAGGAGTGTTTCAGTGAAAGTGAGGCTCACTACGCACAGTTTTTGTTCCTTATTTCAACAACTGACCTTAACTCAGATCTGAAAAAAACAAAAGACAGGTTGAAATTGTTTAAACCTTTTATTGCTATGTAAAATTAAAAATCCTTTACTTCTACAGAAAAAGAAACAGCTCTCAGGTAACATGAGTTCAGGCAAAATAAAACATTTTGGCAAAATACAGGGGAGAAAAAATTAGACTGGACTTTGAGCAGTTTTAGCACAGCATTACTGCTACGCTTGCTAGTTGAAACCGTTATAAAATGCACATTGTAGTGTTTTGTACAGACTACCTTCTTAAACTTGTACACAGAGCAAGTAAACTAATGAGACATTTAACACTGTGTTTCTTCTTACTAACTTGTAATACTTTAACTGAGGTCCTGCGGTAGGGTGTGAGCCTAAAATAAAACCCAAATGGAAACACGGTAGACGTGCTTATTATTGGCACATCCATGATACCCCTGGCACTTGCACACTTAATGCAGCAGGGGGGTAAAAAAAAAGGCTGAAGCTGCTCATCCCAGGTGGTCACTGCTGTTACAGTACATACGAGCTGACGCAAATCATTCAACGTGCTGAACAATCTGAATCATGAAGCACATCCCTGTCGTCTTTAAGACGTCTGTAATCAAGACAACAAAATGCAGAGGTGAAGAGACGTCTTCGAAATGACACCATGACTAACGACAAGACAAAACTTCAAGTATAATCCAATAAAAACGCAGCTCTTCGGTCTAAACACTACGTCTGCGTCCAGAGAGACTAAATCCTACACATGCAAACTCTACTAATGTGCAGCCGCTTTCTCTTTCTGTGACAAACTGCAAAGTGCATATTAGGAACAAGTGGGTGCCCTTTGAGAGGTTTGGCTCTTCACGCTGTGGCATTCAAGTCTGCTCATGCGCCAGGAGGCCAAGACGCTTGGCTCTACTACACTGACATTCGAAACATTGTGTCGCTTAACAGAGCTGCACTTGAATATCGCACGAGTAAAACAAAAAGCATCAGCATTCAAAAGTTAAACATTTTTAAGCTGCATGGGCATCCCCTTTTTTTTTAACCTTCAGTTCAAACTCCCAAAATAACATTAAGTGACTGTCATAAACATAAAATATAAGTTATGAAGTAAAAATTCAAATCTGAAAACAGAAACAAAACATGTGAATTACAGTCAGCACAAAAAAAGCCTTTAATATCAACTTATTTAAATGAGAAAAAGTAAAAGCTTGGTCGATATTCCAAATTCTGCACCAGCATTCGGTGCATCCGTGGAATACCTCACAAAATGAATTAATACAGAAATAAATAATCCTTGAATTGTTATGCATTTATTATCTTTTTCTTTTACAGTACCATGACTTGTAACTGTACAGTGGAATATGATACAGCAAATACAATGGCAACGGACTGGGACTGAGGTGAGGGGTGGAGGATACCGCTGGTCTGCTGGTCTGAGAGGGGCCAAACTAAACTAAACTGAACAACACCCTTTATTAACCCCAAAATGTCCTATGTTGCTTTGTTGATCTTCCACGAGGCGATTGGGCAAGCCCGAGGCCCCATTCGGTGTCCAGAGCTGCTCGGAATTTCAGATCCATACCGGGATTACTAAGATCTGGGTTTGGCTGCGAGAAAGTGATGGGAGAAAGGGGGTTGGTTGAGGTCAAAAGGCGAGGTGTCAGGAGCCAGGGTTGCCACGGTGACCTCAGAAGTGGTCCATCCTGGCGGCAAAAAGGCTGCGGGAGCGTGGCACGGCCGAGGAGACGCGGCCAAAGCTGGATGAAGGCCACTTCATGATGAACTGGGAGGTCACTGGCAGCAGGTACCTGGACAGACGGACACGAGCGAGGGATGGAGGGATTAGGGGAAGGGATGAACATAATGAGAGGATTAGTCCTGCAAAGGTCACAATTTAGAGGTCGGGGCGCTTTAGTAGGCATGGACACGGCATATAGTCCACTTTTTAAATATTGACTACCGTTTATGGCCTTCTCCCATTGCGTAACTCTATTTTAATAAGAGGCCTGGTGGTGTCAAGATATCATGACACCGTTTGGACTTGAAAAGAGGATTGAAAAGGAATGAAAAAGATTGAGGAACTAGGGGAGATCCATACTATTTGAAGCCGTTTGTGTAGAATGAGGAGAATACGTTGACAAAATCAGCAAATCTGTTGCGTTGATAGAACATCGGTCTTTGATTGCCACAGACCAACATGTATCTCAATTTTTCTCACCCTTTCCCACAGTGCAAAAAACCAAGGACATTCCCTTTTTTTCTATTAAGTATGAATAGAAGTTAAAGATATAAAAAATGTTCTGCAATTTTGCATTAGCAAGGACAGCAAGGATAGCGGCAGAATTTTTGTGTAATGTATGAAATATACAAATATAGAGCGTGCGCTGGGTTACAGTCCCATTTCATTTGGTTATATGCAGGTCCAGGAGCAGTGATACAACTGTGACCCTCACACTAACTTTCGGGGCAATCAGGTTTTTCAACTTTGATCCTTACATTTCTGATATCATGAGCAGAAAATCCTCACCTATCATTCCGAGGCATAGACGTCAGTACCTTTCTAAGACTTTTCTATGACACCTTCCACCGAGACAGAGCAGTGAGGCAGCTCCTGCTAACAGCGTTCCAGTACCTGAGAATGAGACCAGTGTCAGGTTGAGATAAGAGTCAGGCAGGGACCGAACCCTGCTCCTACCTTCCTTAGTGACTAGAAATGAATAAGATATGTTTATTAGGAACAATGTCAGATGAGATGATCAGATCCCGAGCCGGGTTAACCGAGACCTATTTAAAATATAGAGAAGTTTAACTTGTGTGCTTTTGCAGAAAGTTATCCCATGAAATTACACACTCGGTGACCTGGTTTCCACATTTTCAGCGATGATCCTCAGCCGATGAAAAAATAACAGTCTAATACTCGTTTAGTCAAAGAAGTACAATGGTCAAAGTAGTAGTAGTCCTTGTGGAAGATTTTTAGATGTCTAATCAAAAGGGACCCACTCAGGCTGCGGATTACAGAGTGGAGAAATAATATCTTCTTTAATGCTTGTATGGTGATGGCACATTTTTCTCAGACAGCACTTGGACAAATTAGTCGAGCAGCTTCTCCTGAAGTCGACTGGAAAGAAAAAAATGACACGTCGCTGAGGGCATCCGTTTCAACGCGGTCTCTACAGTCTCAGGCCCAAGAGAGTTAGGGGGGGATTCAAATTAAATTGATTTAGTCCGATGAGTGTCCTTGAAACAGCTTCAAGTGGGCTGTGTGTATCCATCCAGCGCCGTCTGTATCTATGACCAGGCTGGGTGAACAATGGATCAGCCTGGCACTTATTCTCAAAGTTCTTCACCCAAACTCCAGAGAGGTCGGCGAGCTTCGGGTTCAGCCTTTCACATTGAATTCCCTCCATCATTTCAGTGTCACCGATGGTTTCATTTGCCGTCTTTTTTTTGTGTCTTTTTTTTTCTCAAAACTTCACATCCCATTACATTCTTCCAAGCAAATTTGCCAACATCTGTAAAGATCGTGTTCATGGGTGAGTGTGGTGTGATTTGACTGGGCCCGGGAATGGAAATGGTGGTGAGGGGGGTGGGGTTTCGGAGAAGATGAAAAAAGAAGGCAAAATCAAATATTGAGAATTCACGCGGGGCCCGAGTGTGTGTTGTTCAGGGCTCCTCTGCTATGCACTTTGAGATTACTCCGCTCATAAAAAGAGACACTCTGGTGGTAGTGGCAAGTGGTGGAATGGGGGTGTGGAGGTGCAGGTCCAGGCAGCTGCTGTCTCTGCAGGCCATAATTGGAGCCTCATTCAGCATCGTCCAGGTTCTTCCTCTTTTTGATCAGGAACAAGGCCTTGGCAACTAGAGGCGCGCTTGTTCACGGACTTGTGCTTCACTTCAATCCATCGTAGGAGACAGACAGAATGTGTGCTCCCCCCAATGTGTGCAAAACTGCTATCAAATACTGTTCCTCCTGACAGGCTAAACTCAAATCCTCTATTGAGATGCAAGTGCCGCGGAGCATTAAAGGGAGGCCCGACAAAAATCAAATGACTTAGGATGGAGAGGGAGCCTTTGCACGCTAGCTGATGCAATCGTAAACCAAGAGGCTTGAAGGGCATCTGCAGCCCACATTCTGCTCGACACCCCAATTAACCCTAATTACCGCCGCACTTCTCAAACAAAATAAAAGTTAATAAAATCGGAAACTTCTGTCATTATGGGAAAATTGTCTTTTGGTATTGACCATAATTCCTGGCTTAAAAAGGAACTAATTAGCCTGCAGTGTCTGGCTTCTTCTCCTCAGCTGCCCACACAGGCCGGGTGGCTTTCCTTCAACTCGTGAGGCTGTTGACACACTTGATCGGAGCTCTTCACACAGGAGGGGTGCTTCAACGCGAGCAGGCAGGTATGGTCAACAATGGAGACCCCCGCGGACCCCCGTTAACAGACCAACTCTGACCCCTGAGAAAAAGCTGCGCAGAGCTCTGCTCGTCGGTGTGTCACATACTGCGAGTGTGAGCGTGGTGGCTGACACCGGGTAGCACCGACGGCACTCAGACGTCCCTCACAGCAACCAGGCTTTTAATTCTACATTTCCTAATACGTTTTCAATGCGTGAGTTAGGAAAGAAAATGTCAACCCCCACAGAGAATGGGGATATTTACCAAGCTGTAAACATGTTTACTTTTGCTGCCGAGTTTCTGTGGGAATTAACTTGCATTTTGAGCACTTTGAGAAACCGCTGTTTTTCCGGCACTTAAGTCTTGGTGTCATTTTTTCAGCCCTGAAACTTCTTTCATGGTAAGACAAGCCTGTGATTCTTTTGAACATAACCATATAAAGAATTGTTTATACTAAAAGGGAATTCATACAGACATACATTACCTCTGTGTCCTTGTCATTTTCTACAAAAGCTGTGTCTTGAAAAGCCCTTTAGAAACATCACATATTTAATATACTTTCATTAATGGATATGGACACATTTTCAAGCAACTTCTCTTTTTTGTAAATCAGTCATTGCTTGTCTTCTTACTGATGCCGTTTCAATATGTGAGAAAGGGGTCCATACCTGTACTAAATGTGTACATTATAAAATGTCAGCAGAAGCTCAAGCTGGAGCTAAACTGGTGTCACTGGAGAGAGTGATGGCAGTTGAAACACAGTCAACACATGAACATGCACACCAGAATTCATCCCCGGGCGTTAAGCATATGCGGCGATAATAAAACAATCGTAATTGCTGCTCAGCTACTGTATCTGAAGTGGTGGTGGGTTGCGGCGGCCCCCGGCATGCCGGCTGGAGAGATGTGAGCCACTCTTGTTCTTGAACTCCAAACCTCACAATGTGAGCCGAACCTCTTTTTTTTTTCTGTCTTCTTGTGACAAGAAGAGAGTGGTGCTTAGGTCGATCATGGCACTGATGCCGTGCAGGTGAGGCGCTCAGTCCTCACTGAGGCCACTTGTACTGAAAATGCACTCAAGGTACTGTACAATGCTCTCGAATGAAGCATTGAGTAAAACGCGTTGTGGCAGCTGGGTGATTGGCTGGTGATGTACTGCAAGCTGGCTGAATGGTTGCAGTGTTGACCCAAAGTGCTCCAAACAGCCTGAATGAGCTTCCTTCTCCTTGATCGTTCTTTCTGGGGACACCACGTGTGGTTTTGGGCAACAAGTAGTCCAATAGTTTGAGACCCATTCTTCTGCTGTTTCAACCAATCTCATTATTAATTTCAATCTTAATGAGGAAAAAGAGAAGGAGGCCATGCAAGACTGTTGGGTTTCTTGCCAAATCAACCATCTTAGGAAAGGTGGGATCAAGCCTTGGACACAGTTATGAGGTGGCAGCAGCAGTAGAAAGCGGTGGGTTCGGGAAGTGCTTGAGGATGAGGAAGGGGGGAGGGTTTAGCAGAACTAAACCGAGCAGAGACCTGCGTCGAGGGGCGAGGAGACGGAAGGAGAGGAGGAAGAAGAAGAAGCGGCAGCGACAGCAGCAGGAGTGGAGCCATGGGTTGAAGTTGGTCCAGCAGCAAATGGTAAGCTTTTTTACACAGACATATATAGACACAAAGGAAAATAAGCAGAGACAAACCAATGCATGCTTATAGCTACTCTCAAGCGAACTTAGTGCAAATTAATGGTCCAACGTGTAACTAAGTGTTGAAATCATTGCATTCATTTGGTTCATCTTCTTGTGACAATATATACATTTCAATACAAACAACGTCAGAATTTATGAAATTGAACTTCTGTTCTGCCATTGTACACAAAACCCATATACTTTTTAACAGCTGAGCTTTTTATACAGTGGGCGCAAAGTGATAGCCTGTTAAAATATGTGCAAGAGTTATGAATCATGTACAGCGAGGCCCCAGGAAAAAAGGATCTCTCTCTCTTGTAAGGTCATTTGCTGCTCAGGCTCATCTGGGCTCTAATTGAATTAAGAAGGCCTCGAGGGGCCCCAGGCTAACCTGAGCGCTAATCTGTGGGCCATTATTTCCTGTTAACAGCACACTACTTCTCTCCCTCTCCCAAGCCAACTCCCGCCCTGACTGCCAGCCCAAAGCGTGTATGATTTAAAAGTTCACTCATTCCCAACCTGAGCTGCTGTCCCCTGCGGGGATCAGTGTTAAAAATAGAATGAACCTGATTTTTGCTTGTTTGTTTTATCAGTCTTTCAAGAAGAAGAAGATAGCTCCGAGGCTCTGTGGAGGGGAGAGAGGAAATGTTTCCAGAGAGAGGTTTAATGATGATCGCTGATGATAACAATGTTTTTGACAGTGCTTTCTGAAGGGAGTTTATTACTTGGCACTTTTGGGGTTCAGACTTATGTAGCTAAATATCAGAGGAAACATGCATTGATGATGTCTCCTGTTACTTTTGCTAGTTTAATTCACAGAAGGCTTCATTTATTGCCCGTGGTGTGTGTATGATGTGATTTTTCTTTTTCTTATGGAAATAAACCAATTAGACACTGTGTTAAAATCCACCAGGGGCAGTCCAGTGGTAACAAATCCATGGGGTCATTTATGATGTGTAATGGGGACTCTGAAAATCAGGAAATGCCAGATCAAAAGGTTTCCAACAGTTATGCTTTGTTATAAGATGATAAATGCCATTAACATCCACTGATTAGTCAGTAAAGTTACAAAAACAGTCACAATGAACAACAATTGATCACTGTGAGAAACCATTCTGCTTTTTTTATTTTTGTAGAAAGGATCGTGGGATATCATGGTGCCCTTATCCATTGCATTAGTATTCAGATTGAAAAGCAATTATTAGATTATAAAACCACATTTATGGGAGCAGAGCATCTGTCTGGAAATGCTTTTAGTGACCAAATGTTGACAAGTAGTCATGTAGTGGATTGCTTGTCAGACACAATTTCGATGTGTTTACCTGTGTGAAGAAACATAAAAATATGTGAATAACAGGCATTTTATCGGGAGTGTGTGGGTTTATTTAGAATTTACTTGAGTTTGGAATAAATTGGAACTTATTAGGGCATATACAGAGCACCGGAAGCCATTTGAATCTGTGAAAAGAGTGATTTGACCTCCAACTGTATTTTCTGTGTGAGTAAATCCTGTTTTGAGAACCTTGATTTTGCACAATTTTGATCAATTTAAATGCACTTTATAAGTCTGTGTTTTCGTCTGACTAACACTGTAACTACTTCTTTCTGTTGTGGTTGATTTGTACACAACATAAAGTCCTCTCCTTCAATCTCGACACAACAGCAAAATGTGAGTGGATCTTAAACCACAGTTTACAATAGATTTTTCTGCATTAAGCGTGAATTAATACACTTTGCTGAGCTTAAGCTCATCATAATGCACAAGGACACTGAGTCCAGGCTCAGTTGGGAGGCTTGAGAGAAATCCTTGAATCTTTTTCAACACTGCTCAGAGATCTTAAAAGAATATCTAAAAAACAAAGTACTCAATGGGGAGTCATCAAAGGTATCTCTCACCTGGTATCATCCCATTCGGGGCTGAGGCCACTTAGAGAGCCCCGGGACTCAGAGACAAACTTGTAGACAATCAACAGGCAGTCCCTGCACAGCTGGACCAGCCGGCGGCAGCACTGCAGCTCCTGGGGGGACACCACCTCACTGCACTTGCTGAAGATAGACTCCCATGATGAACTGGAGAACAGAAAAGAAAAAAAAAAGGGTTGGAAGCTGTAGACATCAATCAAAGCCGATCACTTTGAGCTGATGTGTCACGTATATGGAAGATGACAGAAAACGTAATCATACTTTTTCTCTAATGCATTTCGATCTACACACACATGCGACAAGACGCTTTGGCACTCGTAGGAGGGATGAAACAAATCCAAGTAGTTAACCCCCTTAACAATCCCGGACATACCCCTGACTGTGAGAGAGCTCAACAACTGAGACACACAACCCTAGGGGGTACTTTTGATGTCTTCCCCTTTTCACTCCTTGGGAGGTGGGATGTGCTTTCTCTGAAAGGGTTTAAAACTGTTTCCATTCCCCTCTTCCTAAGTCGTTTTCAAAGCCTGTTGAATTCATTGCCCACAATAGCTGCTGGGCTGTTTGATTGTTGTTAAGTCCCTTAGATAAAATATCAAACAAGAGACTGAGAGGAAAGAGGGGGGCTTCACCCCAGATTTGGAGTGTGCTCTTGGAGCTGCACCGCCTGGCTGTCTCTGCTTGATACTGGGGCCCCCTGTTGGGTTCATCCTTGTTGGGGCAATGGCACGTTGTAGGGAGGGGCCAGACGATAAGGATGCAAGCTAGCTGTATGATCCAGGGCATGCTGCGATTAGACAAAGGCAGCATGGGGTGCAGCATACAGGGGGTAGCTTGGTTAGGCTAATCCTCATAGGTCAATACTCCCCCAAGCCATCTCTGCTGCTTCTTACCATGTCATTTTCAATCACTCTCCACTTTCTCTTTGTCACTGGGTCTTTTTCTCTCCCTCTGCTTATCAAATACTTCATCTCTGTCACCTGCTCACTCCCTTTCACACTCGCCCTCAATTAAGACTCCCAAGGTTGTAAGGGAGGAGAAAAATGGAGGGCTGGGCCCAGTGACTCAGGTTACCCTGTCTGAGCCCTCTGCGTCCGGGGGAGCACGCCAACGAACAACTGAACTGTAAAGAATATGTAGAGGATGAGATGTGAGAAGGTCACACTTCCAGCTAAGAAGAGGAGAAAAGCAACCACTTCAGCAGCTGTGCGCATGTAAGGCGGCCGTACATGTGTTCATGTGTGTCAGTCTGTTTGAAAAAGGGAAAATAAAAAATCGACTGCCTTTTTTAAATAATAAATAAATAAAACTGGAAGCAACTGTGTAAAAACAAATACATAAAAGAAGTCACAGAGCACAAAAACACTTTAGAGGAGGAGATAACAACCAGAACTGGGGAGGCCTTCATTCGCCTCCTCCACGCTCCCATCCCCTTTCTTTCATCCTGCTCCCACCTCTGAAAAAGTCCAGATTAACGGCCACTTTTTGTGACCTTAATTTGTAACCTGCCCAACAGACTAGCGCACCTCTTTCAAGGAAAGTGCAGTGAATCTGCTCCGTCTTTTACTGATTCTCAGTGATTCCGATGGCATTTCTTCCACAGTCACACTGGATGAAATGTCCCTGTTTATACTGAAACTAGTGTACTGATGAACAGAGGGCTTAAGGGAGTGAGGAAATTGCTTAGTGCATGAGCGTCTAGTTACAGAGATGGAAGAGGGATGTTATGCCGTGAATAAAATGGTAATTGGCCTGCAGTGCGATCGCTTGTTTGTGTCGATTCTGAGGAATTAGATTCCATTCATTCAAGGGAGCTCTTTGTGATACTCAGAGCAATATTTCAATGTGTAGTTTTTTCTTGGTTGGTCTTGGTATGTCATCAATCAAAATTACGCAGAAGTTATGGATTCTGTTTTTTTTTTTTTTTTTATGTGGGGATGGTTAGATGCTCATTAGTTCAATTCAGAGTAATCTCCTTCTTAGTATGCAAAAACCTGCTCCGACCGCTTCCAACTCTCAGGTCTTGTCCAGAGGTGAAAACATAAGCAGGACTGCCCCTAGCTCTAGTTTTCTACTTTTTGTTTACTAAAACTTTTCTCTCCTGTATGCCAAAGGTAGTGTGTGTCGCTATATAAAACCTTCTTGGCTAATTTCTGCTTTGTCTTACGAAATCTATTCAATTATTCCACATTTTCACTCCATCATCATTTCTGTCTTTTTATTTTCTTATGCCTGTCAACCAGTTAGTGACCATTATTTTATTGTTGTTTTTTTTTGCACATTACTGCCACCTTCTGACAATAATGTCCAACCCGTTTTTCTCCAAACCAGGTGCCATAAAACTACATGTGGGTTTTGTTTTTTATTCAATACATTTTCAAAGTTCTAGTCTTGCCTAGAGGGGCCTACCTAGTGTTGGAAAAGCAGTTCCACAGGCCCTGGCCGTGACTCCAGAGCAGTCGGTTGAAGACACGGTTAAAAAGCCGGTAGAGGTGAAGGCTGTCTACGTCTGGCTCCCTCCAGATCCGCTGCAATGCCGAGCGCACATTGGTGCGCACAATGTCCAACACCTGAAAAAAAAGGAGATTAAGCAAATCAAATATCTGGGAATTAAAGGAGGAAATTAAACAGTGCACTTTCCTACTGTAATGTCTATTAACATATGGCTGGGCATCCATTCCGTTTTGTAACAATCTTACATAAAACTGATAATAAAAGAAGTTAATGTATTCCCTCGCTAACAAAAGGTAAGCATGAATTTATCTTGGCATTCGGCAACATTCAAACCCGAACACTTATGTCTAGAATTTTAAAGTGAACATCATTAAAAATACTTTTAAAAAGATCTTACAAACAAAGGTTTTTTGTCTGTGCATTTATTAAAGAGCTGTGCATTGTCTGCAGCTTATGGTTCATTTGTGTGTGTGTGTGTGTGTGTGTGTTTTTGTGTGTTTGTGAAAGAATGAGAGGTGGTGGGAGAGGAAACGAAAGAGGCAGGACGAAAAGTGTCGGGGCAGACAGTGGAGAGCAGGAAAGGACTAATTGCTGCACCAACGTCAGTCTTAGAGATAAGGTGTCAGAAGTTCCCGGGCGGTCTACGGACACCTGCGCCAGCCTTCCATCTTCCCCTCTTCCTTTTTCCCATCCCTCCCCACCCCTGCCTTCTCTCCCTTCTTTTCTTCTTCTTTTCACCCAGCTCAGAGCGGCACTGAGGTTCTTTTGACTCCGATTCTTTGCTCCTCATTACTGAAGTGCCCATCCGTCTGTGCGTGCATGTGTGTTTGCTGTGTGAAGACTAAGATTTCCCCACAGCAATGCGAGGTGAGCGAAACATGCATACACACTCAGACAAACTCGCAGACAAGTAAACACACACGGATATGTTTTGGTATGGTAATCAAATGGCAGAGCGGTTGGCACTACGTTCCTGACCTCTGCCTGCTGCTCATTAGGCTGCTTCACTCCAAATAAACATCAGCTCACACCACCACAGCCCACTACACAAGCTGAGCACAGTTGTGCAGGAAGCAGCGCCTGAGAGATCACATCATTACTGACACGCCTACTGGATGCCATTTCACGTCTTATCCCCTCTTCTATTTTGTTTACATCCTATTTGGTGTCTTTGCCTCTCACGGTCTGACACAGTAATGATCTTCATGCTCGTCTTGTTTTTAGTTTTTTTTTCCTTTCTCCTTTTCTGTGAAGTTTGATTTCACGATTATATTTGTGTTTTAAAAGTTGTTGGAAAGCTTTCAAAGAAGCAGGTAGGAGTGGTGACATTTTGTCACATTCGCCGATTTTAACAACGTCCATTCTGTGCAGGGCGACGGTATAGAACCTGTGACAGCAAAGGCAGAGCAGGCAATTTATACAGACGTCAAAAGGTATATGTGGACCATTTTGCAGACTTTCAGAACCAACATTAAAAACTAAACATTTTCTCTAAGAATAGGCAAAAAAAAAAAAAAAAAAGTTTCTCCACATCAGCCAATGCCAAAACATCAAAAATCCATTATGTCATCTTTAGCCTACATTATTTTTACTCTTTAAAGAAAAACATTAATTAATTCAAACTGTCTTTATTGCATTTACACACATTGCAGAATAAGTGTGCTGAAAATGGCAGTACGCTTTTCTTATTCAATACCATCACAATAATATCAGCTCACACACCAAAGCCAAACTTACAAAGTTTTGGTGTTTCGTTTGTCAATTTTTAACCTTGGTCGAAGAAGTTCAAAATAAGTATAGCTCTCAGTAAACTAAATTTCAATTATTCATCCTTTTTTATCTATGTACACCTCAAGCCATGTAAAATATTCCATATTTCAACAGGCTTTTATTCAACTTGAAGGTTAAAAATATCAAAACACACAAACTTAGTATTTTTTGTTTAAGATTGACATTGTTTTCTCTTCTTCTCTTCTGTTTTAAACTGTCTAATATTGTCGGTTGTCACAAAAAGATTGACCCCAGAGCAATTAGCCTTGAAGTAATTCAAAAGGTAAAGTAAACAAGACTCGGACATTCCTCCAGCAAAGTTAGTTTGGATAATCCAAAAAAATTCACCTTTCGCTGTTTGGTTGAGTCCAACTTAACCAGCCAATACGAGGCCACCTTTGGTTTATGGTATTTCCAGTTGTCCAGGATCTGTGCAAAAAAATAAAAAAACATTAAGCGTATTAATGATAACCCAATGGAAGTTTGTATGTTGTTACAGATAACTTGTTGGTACCAAGCAGAAAGGGAAAGTAAAAAAAAAAAAATGTACATAGAGAGATAATAAAAAACATTCAAATCATTTCCTAATCTCATTCAAGTGTTCCTCCTTCTACTGACAGACGTTCACATCCACATATAGATTCTGTCGCTCTGCTGGGAAGGGAGTTAATCTAATTGTTTTGTGTCTTCACATGTCAGTTGTTGTTCTGGAAAAAGTTCCATGTTCAAACATGACAGCAGCCATTACACATAGGGCTGGAATGCTTGCACAATATTTGGCACATCAAACCAGACAGGAGAGGGAAGGTACAAGGTGAGAGATTGTTTACTGCAGCACATCACAAACTGTCTTGTTATCTTGTCATCAGTGCACAGAGTGCTGTCTTTCCACACTCTAATCAAAGCGGAGCATTTAAATCTTTGCTTCATAATCTCTCCACGCTGTGTTGGACACTCCAGCAGCCTTATTATAATTCAAAATATGATACCAACATTTCTCTCCTTTTTATTGGTAAAGTAACCAGCAGTATAATGAAGGCAATCGTGGTTAAATCAGAACAGAAACCTTGTGTGTGAGAAATGTGCTAAAAGTCCTTTGGGTATGTGTTATGCTCAAATTTTGTGCCGGATATTCCCAGGCACTTCCTCCTAGAGGCAACATTACTGTGTGTCTACAAGCCCTATTATTGTCGTCATGTTGACTTAACCTACACTTCCCCACCGGTGCACATATATGACACTTTGCGTGCTAGATCCCTCGCAAACAGGGCTCCACTGGGAAGCTCCATTGTAAACTCCAGTGTATCCACACACACATACACGGAGAAAAACTTGCAATTATTTCAGAAGACATTATCTTGACTTGTTTGTTGGTCTGCCTTTACCGGTTCTTGGCAGGAGCCCTAAAAACAAAATGAAAAATCACAAACATGCCGTGTTGCTTTGGTAAACTGCCCGCTCATTTGTCACACCATATTTCACGCACACAGAAATTACTGTCAATTAAGGTAGAACAAAAATCCACTTGATACATCTCATCTTTCACTGGATCCAACTGTGACGAGAGAAGAAAAAGATTTTGAGTGAAGATGAGGGAATAAATTACTTGGAAACAAACACATCATCAGCCCAATTAGACCTCAACTTAAAATCACAGACAGCAAAAAATGCCAAAAAGTGTTTTCATGCCAAGTGAACACTCTTCTCCTGAGGCAAGGAGTCATCAGTACAGGTGCAGTCGCTCATCTGTGTTTCCATGGAACTCTCATTAGTGTTTGTTAACAGTACAGGTGTTGTGGTAATTGTCTCTCACAACCCTGACACACCCAGATGTTACGAATACGGAATAATGTTGGTCTTGGTGGTTTTGCGAGGACACTATAATTCACCATCAGCTTACTCTAATTTCAAAATGAATCATAACAAAGACATCCTAATTTCATAGGGGAAATTTTGTTAGATCCTCGTTAGTGGTGCCAAGGTTAAATTATTTTTCTATTTATGTCAGCCAAAACATATGAACCGCTACTTCTGTCTGATGTGCCTCTCTTGTAAGGTTAAGCCACTTCACAAGAAAGAAAATCCATTCAATTTAATTAACATCCTCGGCTTATTCTTTGGTAACAATGTGTGACAATCCTTTGCAACGCAAGCTGTGGGGTGGGAAAAAAGAAGAATTTCCCTTCTTGATGGCAGACTGTGTCATTGCTGTTATTAGAGAGCCTCCGCAGCATCTCCCGATGCAACTTTCTAAAGTCAAAGAGCCAAGTAGGAAAGACCTTGCACTTCAGCCCGAATGACACAAAAGAATAATATAACCAACTGCGGTATACTTTTTTGAAATGTTCCACATGTATCCTTCTAAGGACAGATTTTATCCATTTTTTTCTGTCATTTATCCTTGTAATAAATGACTGGCTTGATGCCGTCCTTTTGCACTGTGGAAACGCGGCACTGAACAGACAGCTGTTTAAGAGGACAGGCGGTGGCTGCTGTAACGGAGGTCAGAATAGATGCTTCTGCCGTGTTCTTATGCCGTAAACATGCTGCTTCTGGTGAGAATTCAAGGTCAGCATCAGCCTCTGCTTCCTTTTAAAGTCTATTCTCATTTCTTTTTACTTTCTTTTTACTTTAATATGCATTCAAAATAATCATATAATAGGTTAGAATGGGAGAAACTTAACAACGTTCAGGAAAATATCAAGAGGTTCCAGGTATTGAACTACAGCTTTTCATGCAAACAATTCAACGTTGCGACTTAAAAAGTTGCATTAGCAGTTTAAGCGTGCACGACTGAAAATTACATCTATTCCAAAAGTTTCGGCATTAGGTGAAAAAATACATAACAACAAAAAGGATATTGTCTTTCATGACAGCACATATGAGTGAACATGCGCGCAAAAATGACAGGACTTTAGTTTCTGTCCAGAAAAAGAGGAGACAGTGATTAATCCAAAGGTGTGGTGGGGAATACTGTAGGGCTGCCAACTGGCTTGTGGGTTGTCGCTGGGGTCATTGGAATTACAATGGGAACCAAGCCAGAGAGGGCAGGCTATTGTGCAGGGAGAAGAGGAGGTCACTTTTAAAAAACAGAGTGACCAGACCGGGCCACAGAGGGGCTCCAGGAAAACACAGCATCTGGGTTTCTGTTCAACAATCCGCCGCTTTCTTTTTACTGTTTATTTCTATATCTTCGTGGTAGTATTGCACATGAGAAGGAAATTTTGTTTGGCCAGTGCACCCACCTCGTCCAGCACAGCTTCGGCCTCCTCTTCTGTCTTGCCTGGAAACCTGATCCGCATGGCGGTGAGCACTGACAGGGTCTGCCGCACCAGCTCTGCCTCCTGCTCCTTACTCCTCAGGTTTATCAGAGGATCACCCTGAAAACACAAAGGGGTAAAAGTGTAATTGTGCACCAATCTAATGTATATAATAATACTGCCTTTATGGGGACTGTACAAAATGAATGTTTTTTTAAAGGGTTCACAGTGAAATTTTGAAATGGAGTAAACTTGGGTAGTGTTCGAATATATAGTGACCATATATATATCGTAAATCAGTATTAAAAGCCGCCCACTCATTGATAAATTTGTCCTTTAGCTTGATCCTTGATTTCCAAAATAAATTTGACTGGTAATAATAACCGCATGTGAGTGTTCCATCTATAATCCCAAAGACAGAAAGAGTAATCCCAGCTGTGTTTTGATCATGTGGTAATTATCTCATGATGCGTCAAATGGCTCCAAAGGTGAAGCCAATCATATCATTTGCCGATAGAAGAGCTATTAAAACTGTCATGTAGACTTCATTATCCACCCGTGTCTAAAAATACTTTATCTGTTCCGGCAAAAGGCTGCTGTTCTACTTCGTTCTGTTTATAGGGGCGAGAATCCTTCTTCTTCATTATATTTCAGTCAACTGTGTTACGTTTCCCAGCATACTTGCAAAGAGGGAAGGGGAGTGGAGGAAGCAGGCAAAAAGCAACAGATGGCCACATAATGGAAGGTCATTGTTGTGGCCCGCATTGATTTAGCAGTTTGAAAGAATCTCAGTAGGCCAGGACACAGTGCACCTCTGCTAAGAAAAAAATCAGCGGGTACAGATAAAAGCTGCAATGACCGATGAAGAAAATGTGCACCTCTTAAAACAGACGTGGAAGATAATTCTTGTTTCTTTTAACCTGTTTAGAGAAGTACATAAACCACGGACTGACAAATGCAGCAATACCACAGCTTGAATTAGGTACCGTTTCCCATAATTCAATAGTTGTTTAGCTAGTTTGGAATAATGAAGCAATAAATCTGCATGTGTGTGTGTGACTGGGTGTTGAATATCCTACTATATTAGAGTGGATGGTGCCCAGGCTGTTGCTGTGAGGCACACGGTGGGCGGAGCCGCTGCGGCTGAGGGAATGAGAGCGAAGCGTAGCTGAGCTTGGTCTGACAAGCGCCGTGGCCACGGGAACTGTAGGAGAGGGCCGGGTCGACAATGCTCGCGCCTCGTTGGGAGATGAAAGGGATGCTATAGAGCGAGGGCAGGATATGGAGCGTCTGATTGGACCAGAAAGTGTTGGGGAAGCAGACGGGGCTGTGCTGGTTTTCACTGACTTGATTGGAGGTTTCCAATGTATGCGCCCTGTATAGAGACAGAGAAGATAGAGAAGGAGTTTGGGAGGGGAAAGGTGTGCACTGAATAACTGTCAAACTTTTAAGTCTATTCTTTCCAGAGCCACTTAAAAGCTCCTCTCTCTGCTTTCAACTGTTGTCACCTTGGTTTGGATATGAAATGTGGGCAGAAAATCCCAACAGTGACCCAGCAGTCAAGAGTGTATTTTAGTGACCACAGCATGTGTATTCCAAACCAGAAAATTAAACAGTCACCCTGTCTGGTTTGGGGACAGATTAAAGAACAGCTCTCTGTTTCAGACACACACACACATTGGACAAGCACACAGAAAATGAAGTAGAAACCCCATACTGACACTCTCTATCACCCTTGAAACTGCTCCAGCTTGTCTACCAGCCAGTGCATTAGTGTGTGTGTCCCCAAATCAAGCATGCTTAGAATTGTGTGCTTGTGTGTGCTTGTGTGTGAGGGAGTGCATGGCTGCTGAACCTTCCAAGGTTTGGCCATTGCCAAATGATAGCATTATGGGGCTTAGTCGTAGCAGCCCTTTGGTGGCTCGGTATAGAGGAGGGCTTGGCAAGGTTGGCATCTCTCTGCGCAAACATGCACAGATACTTTGTTCTAAAGTTGAGCTTTCCATGATTTTATATGCCCTTATTCTATTAAAAATAGAATAAATCAATAAATAAAACTGTCAACCCCAAATTAAACCAGAGAATTTCTTCTCCAAGGTCAGTACAAAGAGTGCTACAAAATGCACTCTCTTCCTCATTTCTGACAGCTTAAAGTGAGTTAATGTATGCGACTTATTCGAATTTCAGGGAATGCTTGAGGCTTATCACTCACAGTATAAAACAGGATATTTCAACATTAAACTGAAGGTATTTTCAAGGTGCACAACAGAAAGGATTTCTTTTTGCTTCTCTTTCAATCAAATTTCTGCTTCAGTTCATGCACGCCTCTACTTTCACCTTCTATTCAGCAGAACGGCACTATTCAGGAACTTTCTATTCCTCAAGTGCTGCACGAGTCTTCAACATTTTCTGTATGTATGGGTGCCCAGCTGTGCCTCTCCCTCAATTGTTTGCTTAAAAACTCAGCAACAAAGATCCACGTTAAAAAACTGAAATACAATTATATTTTTATTTGCATTTATATTAAAAAAAGGAAAAAGTGTAGAATTTATCACTTTACTTTGACACATTATTAATAATCAATTAAAAATAGATGCAGAGCAGGAATTTTTGCATCTATTAACTACGATTTTCTGTCTGGGAGAACTTGAGGATAAAGGATGTTAGTTCATGTGGATTCTGTCGCCCTTTTAGGATCACCATGCTGCTGCAAAAGTAGTTCTCTTATTCATTTGAATTTTGCATTCAGATTTTTTTAATGAAGACTACGGACAAGGTGGTAAAAAAGATAATCAACGGGAGAGACTTTGTTCAGCATTATCTTAAAAACTGATCAGAGCAAATGACACTCACTATTTTCCAACTTCTCTCCTGTAGCCCTACCCTAGGCTAGATTTAACCAGAAAAAGTTTTTTATTTATTTACATATATTGCTATGTATATTACACAGGCAAAGAAGGTCACCTGAATGACATTTTCACTTCTTTTCAACTTGATGAATTTTAGATTTATGTAACTAAATTTAAGTAACTAAAGCAATTCTATTAGCTTAACCATGTTTGTATTTAGAAAATACAAACATTTATCGGTTCCAACTGAAAATGATTAAAAATTCATCTAAAAAGCAAATAAACAAAGAATCCTAACTATATTATTTTCAATTAGGTTGGTTTTAAAGTATGATTAAATTCAAACACACAAATGAGCTGCCAAGAGAGGTGACTTTGGTAAGAAAATTTCCCCAATCAAGACATGAGGAGTTCAGATATGTCCCTAGATCTTAATAACAAACACATTGCAAAATGGACCCCTTTAAAGCTCACTGTATCAATCCTATTAAAACAATTCTTTCTTCATTACTTTTCTAAGACATAAACGTAAATCAAAATTATTAAAAAAGCAACAGTGTGTATTACTCTGAGTGTTCACTTTACCAGTCTATTTATATAAATGAAGGAAAATTCACAAAGAAAAAAAGAAAACGGGCATAAAGAGCTAAAAAAAAAACAGGCATAAACACAGGAATAAAGGTCCTCGTCAAAACGCTCGCACTCTGGCTCCCTAATGAAGACTTCCCAGACACATTTGTACATCCTACCCGATCGTTCAGCCAAGTACTTCTCCTTGCTCTCACTAAGGTCGTAGGAAACTTTCTTCTCCCCTCTTTTGTCTCCACTTCTTCCAACTGTTTTTCTTCTTTCCTCCTCGTCTTCATCTGAAGAGGAGCAGGAATTGTCAGCGCTGCTGCCGCTGGTAAAGTCGGCCAGGTAATCTGGTCGCTGACGTCTTGGCGTCTGACTGCACTCTGGCATGGCGGTCAATGGCTGGTATGGACAGACAAATTCAGGCATTATACACATAAAAGCAGAATGTAGAAACACAATATGTATTTGTAAAGAGGAGAAGTTGTCAAAGGATACACCAGATAGTCACATACACAGAGAAGAACTTACAAAACAGCAAGTATAAGCACTCTTTTTTTTGGCCTTGCATGGATTTATTTGCTCCCAAACCTAACTGCCAATGGCCAATGAGGCCAATTGACCTTCTTCTAAAGGTCTGTAGAACCAACAGAGTCAACAAGAGTAATCATGCACTTAAATATAAAAAATGTAGGATTGCAGTCTCTTCTCACCCGAAGTCAAATACAAAGTGTCACTAGGAGACTGAAGGCCCATAATACAGTAATTATGAGGTACTTTTAAACAACTTTAAAAGCTGTCACTGTAAAACCTACATGCACGGACCTCATGCATTGAAAACATTTTAATTTACTTGGATACGTAAAGGTTAATGTCATGGTAAAGCGTTTTTAAAGTACATTTGCCTCTACTGAGTTTATAAGAGCTGTTAAAACCTCGGAGGACCTGTTTGACACAAACCTTAAACATCGATTAAAAACAAGGTGAAAATACTTATGCAAGTTCAAGTGTGCAAGAGATTTTCCTCTCCGCTCTCATTATGTAGCAGAAAACTGCTAGGCACAAATTCACAAGCATACGCTTTCATTTTCACATCCTGGAAGGAACACGCTGATGGCATTAATAAAGCATTTACGCATCTGTTATTCAACCATCAGTTTGGGCAGTGCCGTCAGACCACCCAAATTAATTGGCAGGAAGTGATCCCCGGCTGATGCGGTAGTTGTGTGGGTGAGTGATGAAGGAGGATAGAGACAGAGAGAGATGACATACATGAGAGAAGAATAAAAGAGAAGATGGGAGCATCAGATTGATGAGGTGAGACATAAAGAGGAGGACAAGGTGAATCTGGGCACGGCCGAGGAGAAGAACAGAGATGAGAAACTGAATAGGCCAACAGAGGCGGAAATGAACACAGAGAAAAAAGGATGGTGGACACATAATGGGATAAAGCGGACACCAGAGCAGACGGTGAATAAACAGCGTTGAGCAAGACAAAGACAAAAACCAGACAGTTAACGGAGAGAAATTTTTGGATGCGAGTGAAAAGGAGAAGCAGGTGAGGAGGACAATCAAGCTGCCCTCACTGAACCCAGGAGAAGCATCAAAGGCCAACATCACAAGACACGTGGATGAATCGAGAAATTAGGGGAACCGGAGTCAAGAACTCCGTCTTTCCTTTTCCAAAAAATGTGTCCTGGTTACCAGGACATTTCCCATTTCCCTGAAATAACAACACTCTGAGCAAGGTTTCCTTTCCCTCTCTCAGCTCTTTTTTTTTTTGGTTTGGTCTCATCTGATTGCTTGATGAGCACCAAACCCTGAGGAGTGAATCTATCCGCCACAGCACTGATGTCATCCTGCTGCTTGTGTGTCTTCATATAGATTCTGAAGCATCAAAACTGACAGGCCCCAAATGAATTTGGTCAACAGTGATCACGTTGGAGCAGGTTTTTATTCTGAATGAGTGTGTCGCAAATGCAGCGCTGATCTCCTCTATGAGCCCCTAACACACTCCTCAAGTGTTCCAGCCAATTTAGCCCTCTCGTGAGGGATGGATGGAAATGTGCAGGGAGGGAAAGAGCTGGGGAGGTGAAAGGAGGAGAGTGAAGCAAAGGTGATGGAGGGAGTAATGTGCTGTCGCAAGAAATTGAGGGGGCTTATGGGTGGATGTGACAAAGAGAGGGAGAACAAGAGGGTGATAGACAGAGAGGAAGATAGCACGGAGAGAGCCAGAGAGACAGCCTGACAGCTGTCCCCTTGGGGAGTTGGGTCCTTTCTTTCGGCCTCTTTCTTTTCTTTCTTTGCTAACCTGCTACCCCCTCCTCTTTACTTTTCAGTATCACCACCGGTGTGCTTTCTGTGGGCTGTAGCTCCAGGCTTCTGACGGCCTGCATCCCTCCTCCATCCATCTTGCTCTTTGACACCCTTCTTTTTAAAGGTCCCATGAGGTGTGGACCCCTACCTCCACGTGTGCCTCTCACCCACCTTTGGGCCTCGTTGCCTGGAGGATTTGCCCATCAGCTTCTCATCGTCCAATTCACATTGCTCCAGTAGATCTAGTATGTCTTCCTCCTGATGCAGGAAAAAAATGTTAAAATGAAATTACAAGACCACAAGGTGGTTTTGTAAGAAATAAAGTACAAATTATGTACAAATGGTAGAAAAACCTTGATGACAACCGCATTATCGAATAAAACCTGTACAGAAGACAAATAGTTTTTAAGGCTTACAATGTGCCTTCTCTGGAGGCTAGAAAAAAAACACACTGGCTGAGCAAGCTTTGCTCGCTGGCAGTGGCCATTGAGGCTGAATTTGGAAAAGGCGCCATCATAGCTGTGGCCAATATGTAGAAGGCCGGTCCATTTGGCTGTTGCTGAAATGCAGGCAAAGGTTATTAATGTTGCTCTATGGCTGGAACATAACGGTCTCCAACTTGAGGCCCAAATCCAGATGCAAAATCGTTGCTTTCTGGCTGCCGGCTCACTGTGTTGGTGTGCCTATCTGTAAGTGTAAATATGTGCTGTGGCAAACAGCATTTTACCTCTGACTACCACGTCCGGAAAACATTATCATAATGTGTTAAAGAATGCATCAGTGAGTCATGAGAGGTAGAAGACTCTCCACATATATAAATGCATTTATTATAATCCAACTTTTCAGTTTTTTAAATATTTAATGGCCATTTCATTAAAAAATATAGATACTGTATATTACAGCGGTGTTTAGCTTTAAGATACCAAAATCTAAAATACCTAACGAGAACCTAGTCCCCAGAAGTGTAAAAAGAAAGAGAGAACATCCGTTAAAAACTGCTGTATAGCCAGTTATTTAACATGATGCAAATTAGCCAAAAGTCACATTTAAACAGTTGACATTATCCAAACTAAAATGACAAAATTGCACTTCCTTTTTTATAGACTATTCACAGACTAAAGGTATGTCTCTAATAAAGGCTTGATTTAAAAGCTGCTCTGAATCCCTTTGTTAAACAACAGAAAGTGGACTACAGGGATATTTCAACATGTTTTATGAGATGTAAAAATAATCTTATACATATAAAGAAACTACACATAAAACAAACCTATTTTCTATCTCATAATTGCAGCCGTTTGAGTCTATAATTCAGAGTGCTCTCATTTATTTATTAAGCTACAATGTCACCTCAGTGAATTTCTCAACTTCACGTTGTTTTTTACTGCTAATTTTCCTAATTACAAACATTTTTAATGGATGCTTATGCAATATAAACCAATCAATTCCAATAATTGGCTGTTACTAATAACTTCTGTTCATGGAAGTTGTAAACTATAGCATGAAGAAACATTAAGTTGTTTTTTCGGGCTGATGTGTACATGAGTCTTTACAGATCTTTTTTTCTTTCTCAACAAACACATTTCATAAATAAACAATATAAATGCCATTTCTGTAGCAATGTCATTAGAGGACACTTTCTACTTTGGGAGGCTTTCTTTGGGTCCGTTTCCTTTTGACGTACAAAAACTAGTGAGGAGGCCACTAGATTTATTCAGGCCACAAAGAGAAGAGACACATATTTCTAAAAAAAAAACAGACAATGCAATCTTCTGTAGCATTATTGTGATGTGCACATCTACACTCATGCAATACTCCAGATGTTTTGTGGTTGTTTTGATTGTTTTTGCATGTAGATAGTGCTGGTTAGGCTGTGCATTTAGGGTCAAATATAATGTAAATTATTTTTACTCTGGTACCTTTTTCAGGAAAATTACATTCATATAATAATACTTTGTTTTTAACTGTCTCGTGGACAGATAATTAATGCTCTCTGCAGTTTGACTGTCTTTAACAACAGTTAATAATGAGCAGTATGTCTTAATGAAAAGTGTTGACTTGTTGCATATTGCAAAGGTTTTTGATTTGTGAGATGATTGTATCCAGGTGACAAGAAATCCAAAGTTTCTGCTCAAGAAACCTCCTTTTGAAAGCAACCATACAATAATGAGCCTACAAGCCCTTAATATTTAAGTGTAAATTATCCAATTGCTGCTTTTTGCCAATGACTTAGGCGTGCAGGTCGGTATTGCTGGCAGAACGTGACAGGGCTTTTGAACTTGCACCACAAAAAAACGAATCAGTTGGTTAGGTGGGAAAACATAGAAAGCTTAGACAGAGCTAGCAATTTGATGCTTACCCATCAGCCTAACTGGAATAGAAGCTGGGAGTAGGGTGATGCAAACCCTGTAGAAACAAGTGTAACCTAAGGCTGGGATGTCTGCAGCACAGCAGTTGAAATCAGAGGGGTGCTCTGCAGAAAATCAACTTCCTGCCACAAGGATTACAGAGCATGCTCCACGTTCTTTGATAGTGTGACAAGTTATGGCATTTTTCCAAGTCAAGGCCAAGAAAAGCACAAAAAGGGAGCAAAAAAAATGCTGTAGGTACAGTGTCTAGCATACCTGATACGTAGGTTGACTTTCTTAAAGAACAGTCCAGACATTATAGGATTTTTTATTCTGAGTTGGCTACATAATGCAAACTATTGGTTTAAGATCAGTCATGAACTGATTAGAATTAGACAAGCTAAAGTCTAAATTTTTAACAATAAACCTATTAAATAAATGTAGGATTTCGTGAATTTGGGATTTTATATACATGAAAACAGCTATTAGCTATTTCCTAAACCTGATGGCATTTGCCATTTTAGTGATAAACATGGTTTGAGATAAGTCGCATAAAAGAGGAAAAGCTCTAAACCCTAAATGCACGAAACAGACTATCTTTAAACAACCCTACCACCGGCTATAAGTGAACCTCTTACTAAATTCCAGCCTATAACACTACCCACAGTCAGTATCAGTACTAAATATCTCAAACTGAACTGCGTCAGTAAATGTCCACTATCCCAAACAATGAAGGAAAGCGAATGAAAGCGAGCTACACACAATCCCAAGATGAATGGGGGGGAAAAAAGGCCTATAAAATGAACTATCTGGGTCTAATGATTATATTCTGAACATCAAGAACTTCCCTTATTTCTCCTAAATTGTCCAGATTAGTATCTTACACTCTGTAAGGACAGTCCAGTTGTCAGTCATGATCTTGTTATCAGATAGGAAACAGTAGAGCTACTTTCTCTTTTCCTGCTTTGAACAAAATCCACATCTCTGTGCTGGCTAAATTAAAAAACTGTGTTTCTGCTCAGGCTGATCTCTGATTGATATCTCTGTAAAGTTTATTGGCAAAGAATCCATTCTTGAAGGAACATACTATAACTTTTGGGGGAAAAAAAGAAAAACACTGTTGCGGGAGTGCAATGCTAGGATAAGAGAGGGATTTGAAACAAAGTTTTCATTTCAACTCTATCTTTTGTCCTTAGCAGTGATACGCTCCCCTGTAGGTTTGAATATCCCAAAATATCTGCAATGATTCAACATTGTCTTTTAAAGTCCTTAATACTTTTCTTTTGTGCAAGAATAAAAAGCCTTGTACTAGCTTTAAAGAAGTGTTTTGCCGAAAAAAATGAAATGAATAAAAGTGAGCAGCTGTATCCGTCACAACAAGCTTTTGCTATTTGGTCTTTTTTTCTGATTCGGATCATTATTTAAACACTCCATCACCTCACTGAAGAAACTTATAGTGCTGCACATGAAATCTTTGTTTGGATGTGAATGCAGAGCAAAAAGTCAATAATTCATGTTCAGCTGTCAATAGTTGTCTCAGAATCAGTAATTAAATGTATGTTGACAGCAGCTTTTACCAACTCAGCCCTTACAAATAAAAAGAAAGAAGGTACACAGAGTGTGTGGTGTGTAAAAGAATAGGAAAAGGTAAAAGGTAGGAATGACATTGTATATGATGTGTGGGATTAGATTTTCTTTTCAAAAGCTCAAGTATAGTACAATAGATATTTGTGAAAAGGCAGTGTGAATGACAGCAGGAGGGCAAAGCATGTAGAGAAGGACGCCTCAAACATTCCTAAGAAAAACCAAGGACTGCAACACACTTTCCGCATTATTTGCGTATCCTTATTCGTTTCTGTGGGGTGAATCTTAATGGAAATGTGTGTGTTCCTTTTCATTGTTGTCCATAAGTGTCTGCATATTGTGTGTGTGTTCAGGTGTGAGTCTCTGTAGCTTTCTATAATGTGCGTGTGTGTTTGTCCGTGACAGTCTGCCACTGACGTACGTGCCTTCATTCGTTTTAGAGGATTATTCATTTCCTTTTGAAGTGAGGTAGCTCGCCCGGCGAGGAAGGTCTGAAAGGCGGCCGAGAGCAGGCTTTCATACTTTTCCAACAGCAGCTTGTCGTCTGGGGGGTAAATACGTCTGCAGGCCGCAGAGACAGAGAGGAAAGGGAGGCAAGGAGAGTGAGAGAAGAGTGGAAACAGGGAGAAATGTGAGGCGAGGAAGGGAGGGAGAATGAGGCAATACATGCAGAGGAAAAGAAACAAAAGAGACGACGGGGGGATCATGATGAATTAAAAAAGGCATAGGCAGTTAAAACAAGAGCAGGAACAAAAGTTGAGGGGAGAGGTTAGTAAGGCATAAAAACACAAAATAAAACATGGCAAAGACAGGATTGGCAAAACGAGGCAGAAATAAAGCAAGGGTATGAATAAAGAAGGGAAAGGAAAACGGAAGTTTAAACACAAGTGGATAAATACAAGTACAGAAAGAGGTTTAGGCACAGCAGGTGAGCGCGGTGGATGGACAGAAAAAAAGAGCAAGGGAGACAGGAAACAGAAAATATTTCAGTGAAACATGTTAGGTGATAGACAAAAGAAAGGTGAGTGGCAGGATAAAGGGAGAAGAATAAAGGAGGGAGAATAAAAAAGACATTTATTACTGGAGACCTTGAGTCATGATGAAACTATACATTTGTTTATATACTTATAGAAATGTCATTCAATAAGTCTTTTCAAATGTTGTAACCCATTGATGCAACAGCTTTCAGCACAATGAGAGCTCTCAATGAGATGTACACTGAGCAGTTTTTTGCGGTCTTTGTTAATCTTGAGTTTCACACGTTTCACATTTGTGGCCTCAAGACTAAACTAAAAGTGCTCAGTGTTGATCTAAAGCCTGAAGGGATTAGAATGAAGTATAAACCACTGCCCGGTTATCCCTAAAACACATCTTTAAGTCTCCCTTTTCATCGCTTTGGCCATCAAATCAAAACAGTGTCTGCATTTAATTCAAAATAAGTACTGGCCAGTGCGACTGACAAAGATGGAAAACAGTCTGCTGTCTGCATACACACACACACACACACACACACACACACACACACACACACTGAAAGCTAAACTCCTCCAGAATTGGTCTTCTGTTTCAGCGGAACGTTAAAAATAAAATAAAAAAACACTGATATGTGCTCAGCTTGTGAAAACATCTGAACTTTCACAAGAGCGCTATGTGTCCACTGGGCATTAAATGAAAAAAGGTTCTTATATGAAAAAGTTATAAGAACATTTTATGAATGAAGATCTTCCGCCAACATATGAGTAGTAAATGTTAGTGCAAGTCAAATGCCAAGTAAAGGGTAACAATTTCACTAATGCAACATTAACTGCACCCTTATCTTCAATAAATCTTATTTTGTACTTGCTCTTGGTGCATGATGCCAATTCTCATTGAGACGCTGACCCAATTCCAGATATGCTACAATTTCTGGATCTTCAGACCTGAGATGAACCAATCGTGTCAGCTTCTCCACTTGACGCATTCCAAAATGACACTCTCATTTAGGTACGACATCTTTAAGATACATGGACCAGGCTGTTGTTGTTATTGTTATCTTTTGTTTGGACCCAGCTCAGCTATGGGTCAAGGGTATCACAAGGCCCTTTTTTATATATATATATATATACAGATTCATTTTCCATATGAGCATAGAGCATTTTCCATATTTTGCTCAAGCCAAATCAAAAGAACCAAAAGAACAGCTATTATTTATAGTCTATTTAAATCCAATAAAGCTGCCATTGTTTTGGTCAACAACATCTTTCAAGCCTCCTGATTAAAAATTGTGTAAAAGATCCTTCTGAGCAACAAGCAGCTGGGTTTCCATTTAATGTCACCAGGTCCGGGCTTGTCTCTACCTGATGCAGATTTCATCTAATAGCCGAATGTAAGTGAGTTCATTACCCGTACTCATCTAATGAGAAGCAGTGTGTTAATCAGACTTCAGCACAGCGTCGGGGCACCATTTGAATGCTAAGAGGTCTTTATTAGGGGTGTTCCAGACAGACCTCAGCCTGTCTGATTGACTGTCTGGCAGCCTGTCGAGAAAGAGGAAGGAGGTGACAGCACTTCATGCAGCCCTGGAGCAGCATTCTCACTAACCACTCAGTCAAGTGATGAGTCAAGAAGTCACTCAAACCTGGGCGGCAAGAGGGCTGAGCGTGTGTCAGCCAGTTGTGTACGGCCGCACGTGTGTGAGAGACTAAAACAAAATAAATAATCTAATAAACCTGTGTCTACATGCTAAAGGGGAAGGGACCATTTACAAGCGACAAGCAGTAAATCTGAGCCTGAAGTAACTAAATCATTTTCCAAGGTAAATCTGCTCCGTCTGTTAGGTTACAAATCGTATGTCTGTCACAGCCCCAGAGGAGTTTGAAGAGAAAATAAAATAAATGTGGGACATCTTTAGTGGCCTCTGTCAACAGCAGTACCGATAAGTTTCATGTGAGCTCTGGCCCTCAGTAGATCATGTGAATGTAATGGAGGTAAGTGGATGTAGCTCTGGAAAAGAAAAGCCACACCTTTCGTCATGACATTTTGCCTCTTTCTCACCTGTAGTTGCCCAGATGTTGTTTTTCATGCTCTTCTCTGGAAATCTGCTTGCGGACCTGTGCAAGTCGCTCTTTCTAGAAACAGAAAAACACAAAGGGGTAAAGTAAAATAATCACATATTCCAAGAAATATCTGCACCACCACATCCTCTGTTTGTAAATAGAAGAGTAGCTGAGAGAGGAGGGAGAACAGAAAATGAGTCTTGCCCATCATTGACTCATCATTTCTTCATTTTACTCTCTCATCAGTTGGTTACGAAGGTGTAATTGTACAGCTCAATTGGCCAATTTGCCATCAGAGAGGAGGGGGCAACTCCGCTAGTAGAACTGCAATATCATTGAATAATAAGTGAAATATGCCTTTCAATAAACCCAAAACTGATCTCACAGTAATGCTAAAACAGCACAAACCCATGAGGTGGTGTCCCTTTTTAAAAAAAACCTTATTCCTTTAGTCACACTGAACTCTGTCAGCTAATCAAATGGCTAATCAAAAGGGGTGTGAGACATTACAGCACTCGTGGTGCAATGTAGAAAGTAAAGCTCTTTGATTTTAAAAGAGAAAATAATGAACTGGCATGCTTGAAAAAAGAAAGAAAGAATTTTCTCTCCCCAAACATTTCCCATTGTTTAAGCCTCCAACTTATCTAAAAAATCAATAGCAGATTGGTATATAGTCTATTAACAGTAGTGAATTTGCATAGAGGTTGGGTTGCAGTGTAACAACATACAAATCTCAGATTTGATGCTGGCAACAGATTTAAAAGAAGCTTGTGAACATGCATGTAAGCCACTGTGGGACCACGTATTTTCTACTGTTTCTCTCTACAATTGTGGGAACAGGGTATTTTTGCTGTTGATTTAAAGAGAAAAGTTTTCCCATTTACCTTGATGTCAGATTTCAGCTGCTCCTCAGTTTGAGGCCTTGGCTGAAAACAACAGAGGGGCCCTCTTCGTTGTTTCCAAAAGAATTTTCAAACTTCTAATTTTCTCATTTCTAAGCTTAATTTTTTGTGACTTTAAAGCTCAGTAAGGAGAGCTTCATCCTCTAGACCTTGTTTGTGATGTTTCCTTTCTACATGGTTCAGTTTTAACATGCATTCACTGTCATTCTCTGTGTTTATCAGCCTGTGTAGTGATTTCCCTTGCAGAATTGCATCCATTTTTAAGGCAGCACTGTCTGAAACCCAGATCAGTATTGGTCAGATCTTGCCCCGCGTGAGGAGATTTGTGGAAATCTTTGAATGATATCATGCCCAGTAGATGATGAAATCCCCACAATCTTTGCAATATTACTTTGATAAATCCCCTCACAGAAGCCACTTGTTTCAATCAAATTCTGTTGTGCTTGTTTTTCTGATATGAAGTGTATCATGTTCCCAAATGTAGAAATACAATAAGTTTGAGCACAATGGTTTATTTCCTGTAAATAAAATAACTCCCCCCATATCAAATGTTTTTTATGAATGTGTAAATACCCGTAGTAATTCTATAATAGTCATTCAACATATTAATTTTCTAAAGTTTTGAACTTTTTGTTATCTGGAATAAAAACAACAAAAGAAATGTCTGCTTTATTTGCTAGCTTAGGCCACAGTATGTGTAATAGAAGTTAAATAGTATGCACAGGGGGTTCCATTTTGAAAACTGACGTGATTTTCTATGGTGTTCCAGTAGCTGAGTTCATATTCCTCTCATTTCGTCCATGCTGGTTACATTTTTTTTTTTTTTTTTAATGAGACCAGCCTCCTATTTTTCGAATCTTCTGAAACTTTCCCTGGTGCAAATTGTAGATATGTAATCATTGACTGACATGACTGACCTGCGCCAGAGCTGGAATGCAAGTCATCATAGGTGGAAACCATGCATAAAACCCTATGAGATGCTTTATCTTATAAAAACATTTTGAGGCTTTTATTGGTCTTATTCTTAATATTAGTTGTTGAAATATTTTGAAAGAAGATTCATAAATTGAAAATGTAGTTTAGTTTATTTTTTGTCTTGCTTTATGTATTATAGTTTGGAGGCTGTCCTCCTTTAATTGTTTCTGCTGGTTACATGTGTAATGAAGCAGTTGTGTCAACCGAAAGTTCATTTATATGTGAACTTTCTTTTCTGCTTAATACTGCTAATTAAGTATTAAACAATCCTCCAGACCCAGCTATGTTGTAAAGGAGACATTGATGTACAGTAGAAAAAATTAGGGCGATGAAAGGAAGTATAAACCATTTCATTCCTTAATCATCATGGGGAATGTGAGATCCCTGGTCAATAAAATGGACGACTTATGAGCACAGGCAAAGACACATGGGAATATCAGGAGTGGAGGATGATGTTTCATTGAGAACACGTTCTAGACTCAAATTCCTTTCTCCTCTAGCCGCATTTACTTAACTATTTTGGTTGGTGCTGCAGAAAAATAATTTCTCTTCGGGTATAAATCACTATTATTGTGTTTTATCTGATTAAATACTGTTACCAGCTCTTCTCTTCTTCGTTCCAATGTGTGACGCTGTTTCTCCCAATCTGAGGAAGCTGCTGAGAGTTTCTTCATGGAGCCATGTCCATATAGCCGTCTCTGAGCCTCTGCCTTCTGCTGGGCCAGGTTGCGTTTCTTATCACTGGCCCTAGTTAAAAATAAAGAAAAAAACATCCAGAATAGCCTTAGTTAGAACAAACTGTAAAGTAGACTTAGAAAAGTAGATTTAGCGTGAAGAACTTCATAGTTGACTTTCCATTTCCTATTCTTCAAAACTCACAGGCCTACATTGCACCATAAACTAAATATTATGGGGTGAGACCTAAAAAAAGAGAAATCTCAGAAAACATTTAAAAGTACTTGGACAAAAACAGTGCCAAAGTACAGCACCAGGACGAACACAACCAGACAGCTTATTCAGTACGAATTGGCGTCTGCAGTGTGAAGAAAGGGCAATTCATTTTAGTCAATCGCTGGCCCTTTAAATTGGATATCGAGTGCTGTTGGGGGGCTGAGGTTTATCAATGTCCATGCCCGGATGGGTTGGGTGTGAATTGATCCCATTTGATACAGTTGGTTGTGAGCGGACTCCGGAGCCAACCGTACCTCTGCACACCACTAACCCCTTCTTCTGAGGAAGCAAAATCATTACTATATACGGAAAAAGTGAGTAAAGTACAGCACTCGTTTACTTTATCAACATAAGCAGTCTCTCCGGTGGAAGGGGGTGTCAACTGCCTTTTCTAGACCTCCTACGATCTATTTGCCATGAATGAATCAACCAAATCTTCCCTTTTAATCTGTGGGAACAGCAAACACCCGTCATCCCGCAAATCATTTTAATAAGAGATTTGTTTGTTCCACCCAAAGCCAGGCAGGAGAACAGTCAGTTTTTATGTGGGCTGATTGCACTCTGCATCACGTTTGGTCAAACCAGATCTAAGGTGCCGCAAGTAATTGATCCATTGTGTATGTGTGTGTCTGTTTAAGTGTGTGCCTTGTATTTGTGTGTGGCTAGTCGAGTTAAGCCTATATTTAGGGCAGTAAGAGGGGGACAAGCAGAGAGAAAGCAAAAAAGAGAGCAGAGATCCAGAGGTCTGGTGTACAATGATCAATCAGTGAACAGAGCCATTGCAGCCTAGGGACAGAGAAGCATGCCGGAACGCACACACACACACACACAAAACAAAATGGCATACATATATATATATATATATATTACACAACAGGAACAGTGAGCGTAAGCAAAACAGGCAAACAAATATATCCACAAAGGAAAGAAGAACAGCAAAACAAGAAGCTTGAGTAAATTTACAGAGAAACGTAAAGAATGCAGATTCAAACCCAGGGGTAACATAACTTACAGGTAAAAATGACACAACGCGCACACATTCCCAGCATGAGTGATTGAAAGGAACACACAGCGCACAACAGAGACATTTCTTTGTACCCTGGCCATTATCTGTCTTTGTGCCCTGCACAGAAACACCAACAGACAAATTTAGACGGATAGTAATTCCGTTTTTCAAAGCTCAAACCTCCAGGTCCATTCACATTATTACTACTGTTTATTCAGAAATCAAAACAAGATCAGGAGGGAGCTTTAGTATGCATTAAAGCGATTTTGAAGTTCTGAAGTTTTGAAGTTTTCAGAGAAAACTTTATTGAAATCTTTAAAAAGAAGGGTTTGACTTAAGCTTAGCATGCCTCTTCACATTAAACTTAATGGACGCCTTGGTATAATCTGGCTGCATCTCGCCCTGCTCGTATCCGTGTGTATTTAACTGGGATTGAGGACAATACCTAATATTTAGGAGTTTGAGAGCATTGAGCAGCACCCCTTTCTTCACATCGTAATCAATCTTCTGATCGGTCCCGAAGCTCGGAGCTCTATTGATCTGTCAAAGAAAAGAGAAGAAATACATTCGAAGATTAAGCACGTTTTTTCTACCTAAATTCAACAGACAGAGATAGTATGCAATCACAGGGGAGGTTTAAATAATGCTTGGAAAAGAAATACTTTACTCAAAACTAAATGGAAAAAGGAAAAAAGAGGGGTAAGTGAGATGGAAATGCTTTTTTTGGGCCTTTTTTCTGAGCACAAATCCTATGTCACGCTGCGTTTTTGCTGAAGTTTGCTTGTCTCTAGAGAGTAGTCTGTATGTGGGATCAAAAACCATCTATGTAACATAAGTGACCCTGTTCCCAGAATCAGGAACCTCAGTATTCCCAACGTCTAAGATTACAGTACCGCCACCAATAATATCTTTTTGAGCAACAGAGAATTATCAACGCTCAGCTCACTTCCATCATGTACAATCATGAGCGCTCAGAGAGATACAGCCGAGAAAGAAAGAAATAATCCACCTGTGATTCGACGTACAAAAGCTTGAATCATCCAGGGAATAATTCAAGAGCAGCTTACCTTTTTCAATAGAACAAATCCAAGCACCGGTACAAAGTATTCAAATATCAGTTATTATCCCCGACACAACAAATCAATTCTTTTTCTCTTTGTTAGGATCCTTTATGTCTCCCTCCCATGGTGAGAAATAGCTTATGTCAGACAACAAAAGAATCAACAAAGAAAGAACTGGCAACAGTGATTGGAATGGTGTCTTCCTATGAGGTGCCTTCAAAAGACAAAGCAACAGATGCCCACCAAAAGGCTGGCTCGGGTTGATAAACCTTGATTGTTGAGATAAGTCAGGTCCCCTCCTGGCATCAACCGAAACGCATAAAACCAGCTATTATCTTTTTTTTTTTACTATTATTATATGAGAACAATAGCAAGGGTGGGTGGTTTTATATTATCGGAAATTCAATGGGTTAATAGTGGTGTTTTTTGTTGGATATTTAGTGAGCATTTGTCAGAATTACTCATGTCTCGAAGGTACAAGTTGATAACTGTACACTTGACATTATGCAAAAATCCACTGAGGTAACTGTGTGAGGAAGTTGATAGCAGAGGGATTTTACACCCTGTCTCTGTAATTCATTACAATAAAACATGCATTTATTGTCTGTAACTAGTTAACTCTCCTTGGCAAATCTTCCTCTGTGTATATAATCAACTCATTCTGCTGATATCATTTATAAATAACACTGATAGTGTGACCTGACGTGTCTGTGTAATGTCTTTCGCTCCAGATTAATTCTTGTTTTCTAAGAGTTTAAACATACTGCAAAAATAATAGATTCACAAAAAGCCACTGAACTAAAAATAATCTGTTCTGCAGATCTGAATGACAACTAACAATTCTGGAAGTCTGGCAAGAAATTAAATCTCCAATAGTTCCTACCTGAAGTCAAAGCGAGTATTTGTGTCAGAAAAACTATTTGTCCTGTTCCCCAAAATGTTTCTTTCTTTTCCTTTTTTTTTTAAACCCACAGAGCAGCTGAACACAAATCAGCACGGCAACAAACACATGGTGATTTCAGTAATGATCCATTCTATATACCAATCAAGAATGTGTGTAGGATGTCTGGAAAGAGATTTGAAAAAAGATAAACTTCAAGCCACTTCAAAACAAATAGTTTTTTTTTGCTTTAAAAATACCAAACTTTTTTCTTCTTTTTTTAAACAGATATTTGCTGGGTCTACGGGAGTAAATCTAAACCCTCTCCCCCCATCCCGCCTGCTCTGAACCAGCCATTGCTAATCCAGACACAAATGTACTTACTGCAGTCTGGCACATTTAGAAACAGAGCTTTAAGATAATATTTACATCACAGCCAGACTCCCAGGAACTGAACGAGTCAGGATGTTGACGGTTTCGTCAGCCGTGGGGCAAGTAGTGTGGTGTGGGCGTGTTAAAGGGAGGTAATGACCGAAAGACTATCCATTAGGTTTATAATTCAACTGAGAAAAAAAAAAAGGAGATGCAAAGTCCGGGCAGAATTTAAAAAAAATACAGTAAGACTCCCTTTGCCACCCATGGTTTCACAGAAATTAACCTTCAGTTACAAAACTGAACCTCAAACACTTAAGAAGCGTGTGAATATGGAAGCTTTCATGTTTTAATGTGTGTAGTTGTGTGTATGAGAGAACACGAGCTCAAGAAACCTTAATCTGAACTGTAGTTGTCAGTGAAGTATCTAAATAACCTTCTTGGGGCTTGTTGAACTGTCACAGCCACAGGTGAGCCACTAAATCTTCACCAACACAAAGTGGGTTTGTATGGATGTGCTTTTGTGTGTGCACTCGCATGTGTGTTTTTTGTATACAGCAACCATTTATCAGAAGGTGGGTGATGAATGTAGTCTAGCGCAGAAAGAAAGAAAAGAACAGAGATCCTATCCAACTCTTTCGCTTAATGGACAGAGGAACACAATACATGGCTCTGTGTGTCGGGAAGGACAGAATTCGACTTCGACCTATAGCACCTTACCTCAAAATGCAACCAAAAGAAGGGGGAAAAAAGGCGGGGTGTCTGTTTTCGTTTAGAGCACTCCCCTGTGTGACAGCCACAATGAAAAGTACAGCTTTAGAGTGCCACAGAATAGGTAACAGGCAGACTGGCAGTGATCCTGTTGACGGTTGTCTCGTTACTTGTCTTCATTTCTTAGTTTGATTTGTGGTGTCAAGCTGTCACAGCCGCGACTGGCACTGTGGCACGCACTGTCCTTTGCTCTCCCTCAATATTTTTGTTTCTCCCCTTCTACTCCCAGAATACCACACTCCTCCTCTCCTGCTTCATTTCTATTCCCACTCTATTTCTTCCTGTCTTTCACAATTTTTTCTGACTGGCCACAGCTGACCCCCCTCACCCCCCCACCCCCCCTTGGCCTCCCAATCCCAGCCCCTCCGCTTGCTATCCCTCATTCTCTGCTCGTTACCTTTCTGCATTTCTCTGCCCGTGTTTCTGAGTTCTTCTCTTCCTCCCTGGCAGAGGAAGTTGGACCAGTCTGTTCCTAATGAACCCCTGCAGGATCCCAAAACCCCCACTCTGATTTCCTTAAATGACTCTGGCAGTGTTTTAAAGGAGCCCTTGGTTGCACCAAGGAGCATTCAATAAAAATGTCAGATGGAAAGATTAGAACCTTCTTTTTACTCATTCTTTGATTTGTTTTTGCATTGCATCAGTGCAGCCAAAATCTCACTCGGTCAAAAATCAGAATGTGAAAGTAAGATTTAAATTTTTCGCGGGATACATTTATCCTTATCCAATAGTCCAACTAAACAGACAAAGATCAAAGAAGAGCGTCACAACATTGAAATATTCACAGGACTTCAAAGGTTTGATTTCTTTCTTCGCGATAAGTGATGGAAACGCAAAAGTATCCGGCAATCCTTAATGATGGTAGCTGTGAAAAGAAAAGAAATTGTTATTGGTAAAACTCATTAGGCTTTTCTTCCAACTGTCCATTTGTTTTGAATTGTCTGCAAGCAGCAAGTATGTCTACTGATCTTTGCTACAGGCAAAGTAAAAACAGATGAGGTGAGACGCAAACAGCAAATTCAAATGGCTTATTTAATTTGATATAGTCTATTAATTTCCAAGAGAAAAAGCCTCTGGTTTGGATGCCGGCTCTGTTTAATAAGGTCTGGCCCCATTGCGTATCTGAGAACTAAGTGTACTGCTCAAGGATAGTTAATAAGTAAATAATGGCCAAACAAAAAAATTTAACCACCAGAATAGGACTAAAATGATCCATTTCACACCTAAAGACAATGATATCAAGATCGTACAATTGGAGGTAAATAACTGATTCCATTTCTTTCCAACCGGTCATTGTTATCACTTACATCATGAATAAACCTAGAGAAAAAAACAATGATTATCATTGTGTAGTGGCTGTCAAGAAGTTTGTGCTTGTGGCTTCCCTTGTACCACACAACCCTTAATAATATAGCAACAGCACCGGGCCAAAAACAATCAGCTGCCTTGTTTCCACAACAAATTGCTTCCCCACAACGACATTTATTCTGTGTCTGGAATACTCCTTAAAACAAGCAGAGGGGCTGCTCGTGATTAATCGGTACAGAAAAACGACCCCCTCTTATTATTCCTGGCAGAGGGTAAACAACCACTGCTTTGACAAGCCTCCCATTTTGCCCCACACACTCAAGGGTATCGGCACAGTTCAGCCGCTGTCAGAATGGAGTGTTTGTTGCTACACAATGGTGGAATGAGAAAGGGAGGCAGAGTGGGAGAGAGAAAGCAAGCATGAGTAGCGGAGCGACAGAAAGACAGACAGCTGGACGCCCTGTTAAGTCGCTCTCTTGTTTCAGCCGTCTTATCAATCACTGTTCTGTTCTTTTCGTGGCGTTTCATGTGGTCCACTCGGACACGGGGAAACTCTAGCTGAGCGTGCTGAGCCGCTGGTAAAGGTCCTGGGAGCGAGCGGGCCAGTGTTTAGCTTAGACAGCAGTCGGCTTAAGGGTGGGAAGGGAAGGGTGCAGAAAGAGTTGCTTTTTGAAGATACGCAGAGATAAGAATCTGACGCAGACACAAAGGGTGCATCAAAGTCGCCCAGAAAAAGGTAAAAGCAGATATGATGACGCCGAATCAAATAAGAATGAATCCACACAAACATTTCAGGGCCGAAACTTAAAAATATGCATTTAAGTATCATACATCCCGAAATGCTCACAGTACAGTTCAATGTGCCACTTAGATCCAATCCAATCTATATCTTTCCTTCCAATCATATGCATAAACACACACACACACACACAGAGTCACTGACTGCCATACATGTCTGATGATGAATGACTAAATGTTGGGGTATGTTTTCAACTGCCCCACATACAAAGCCTGTGCTCTCCTAATTTGATACTTATTCCATGAAATAGTCATGTTGGGGGAAAATGGATGTGGATAGAGACAGACAGTCCCATACATCATTCTAATTATTCTTTAATAAACCTCATACAAGCCAGAGTGGTTCGCAGGTCACTACTGCCACCTAGGGTTTGCACCTTGAAAGGCACCGCCTCAGAGGTTGGACCGATGTCCATGTCCATTTGAACAAGAGCGAATCCAACAAAGTGCTAAAAAATTAATCAAAGGCCGGGAGAATGCAAGGTAGAAGGCAGGAGAGAAGAAAAGATTATTTTGTGCATTAGACTGCATTTATTCTCCATTCTCTTTTTTCACACTTGAAAAATTCAATCATGGGGGGATGAAAATTATTTGTAGAGCACTAGTACGAAGTTAATTCCTCCTTAATCATACTGAATACCCTGTAATGTTTGACTCGGCTGTTGCCGGGGTTCGGAAATTCTCCTCAAATTTCCTGACGAAATATATGAAAGGCGGGCTAACCTAAATCTCCCCTCTCGAACGGAAAAGAAAACAGTTTCACTTTAAACGGCCACTCTTTGCACTTTTGTGAGAACCTATTGGATCATGAAAAAATGATGGTCTCGGCCTCTGAAAGACGAAGTAGAAATTTTTAACTGGTGCCTTACTGAAGTGCGAGCCACTCGTGCTTTTTTTTCACTCAAGGCTGTAACAGAATTTTCTGCCGCTGAGTCCCGTTTTTTTTTGTAGACGGAGGAGAGTGGAAAATACCCCTGCTTTCTTTCTATGTCCATGTGTGTGTCATGGCATCTGTTTACAGTTGCCTATGTAGATTACTGCCCACAAATACCTACCCCACCACAAACACACACGCACACATACTCCCACCAAAGTGAAAGGAAGTCTGGATTATGTTGGCTCAGGGAGAGGGACAGGCGGACCAAACTCATCTTGAAACAATTGGGGACGTAGCACAAAGAGAGGGGAAAGTTTCAGGAAGGGTTGAAGAATCACCACCCTTGGGGAAGCCACCCAGCTGCAGTGTGTTGTCATGATGCCTGTTCACATGCACACACAAACACTCAGAGACTCAAACAACCCGTGCCACAGTTGACCTAACCATGCCTGCCTCATTAGTTGCCAATCACTCTGCACAGGGAGGGGGCGAGGGGTTCAAAAGAAAAAAAAAAAAAAGCGCAAGAAACGGAGGAGGAGGTGGTAGTTTAGTTTTTTGTCATCAATAATCAAGCTGCCTTAGTGCTTTTGTGCCATGAAAGTTGGCAAACAAGGTTTCCCCCCCCCCCTCTTTATTCTGTTGCTTCCCGACTTTGTCTGTTTGTTGGTTTTAAGCAGAATTCTTCTCCGCCTCTGTGAGTGGTTAAAGAGATGGGCTGTGGGCTGGAGGCCGGCCAAACACACACACACACACACACACACACACACACACACACACATTACAGAGGGCTATTCCCTGTTGGACTAAGTCCAGACACCCAGATGCACACACATAGACAGGGAGATGACACGTTTACACAGAAACAGAAACATCTTAAGACGTGTCTGTCGCGATGCATACTTGCTGTGCAAGCAAACCCATCCGCGCTTTCAAACACCACCCATACGCAGGCAAAACACAAATCAAATTTAGATGCACAGATGCTAACTAATATTTATTCCGCGCACACATGCATGCGCATCCTCACACGCTGACTTGTAGCCCTAACAAGCAAGCCAAGCAGCCTTTGCGGAGCCCGCCACTTGCGAGAAGGCTTTGTAGGGGCCAGGCAGGTTTCTAATTATTCGCGCTCACTACAAACACTTGTTTCTTATTTAGTGTTGACCAGCTGGAGCTGTTTTATGCCTCGTGTGGGGAAACAACTGAAAAATAAAACAACGTGAGGCAGAGCTCGTAATGAGACTCAACCCTCAGTCCACTGGCCATTGCATTCTAGTTCAGGGATGCCGTTAGGACCTCATGAGAACGACATGCTAGGCTCTTTTTAGCGCTTTGTGTGTGTGTGTGTGAGATTGTATGTGTGTGTGCGCGTCTGTGTGCAATAATGTCAAACTACCAAACTTCTGATATTTTCAAAATTTTCCTGACAGAAGTGCGATGATGCTCACCCTTCTGTTTTTTGCCCTGATGAGTAAAGGCACTCCTTCAGGCTCGCACGGGATCCGCGCGCGTGTGCCGTTTTCTTTGACCCACACACTGCAATTTTAAGACGCCGCTGCTTAAATGCAGAATTTATAAGTGAAGCTTGTCATGAGGCGGTTCTCGAGCGGAGCTGAATAAATGTGCATTGATTATGTTTTCTCTGCTTTTTAAAATTTTTGCTTTCGAAAGACAAAGAAAATACTCAATGAAGCCCTCAAAGCAAAAAGCCTTGGCTCTGACAAAAGAAACTACAGTCTAAGCAGATTGTCTGCATGTGTGTGCACTGGTGTAAGTGTGTGTGTAAAGCGAAGATCACGGCTCAATGAAACGCCTTTACTATACGAGACACAGATGCTGTCTGGGCCTGTTTAATGAAAGTGAACGTCTCGGGTTTCGCCATTTGAGCAAGTGTGTGTGTGTGTGTGTGTATGTGTGTCTGCCTATGTAGCACCGATGTTTTGAATGTCAATCGGAGGTAAACTTGTGTTGAAAACTGTTGAATTAAGATAAGGATCACACAAAAGCCTGTCTCTCCCTATCCCCCTCTCATCTCCCCTTTCGATACTCGCCTTGAGCACTATGCGCCTGTCTGATGCCCGGCCTTGGTTTGAGAGCCATCCCTCTTGCCTCCTTCACCCCTGTGACAAGCTATTTGGAAGGTGTGTGTGTATCGGTCTGTGTTTTTTTTGTTTTGTTCCACCTATGTGAATGTGTGTGTGTTCCGTGCATATTTGTAATTATTTCACTCATTATTCAGCTTGTCTGTTTATCGCTGTTTTATGCACACAGAGGTATGCATTGAGCAACACATTGAAATGAATTTATTCTCTAACAAAACAGCTGATTAAAACAAATTAAATTAAATCTTTTTTTCATCATTTCTGGGAGAATATCTTGATGCCGTAAAAACTGTGATGTTTCTTTTTCCTCAACATCTCTCTGAATACACTCAGAGGACAGCTGACAAAAACAAAAATGCAAAGGACAGAAGTAATATCATTTGACAGCTTCTTATACATGATACCATCTCGCTTTCAGGTTTCCTGACTGACTTTGAGTCTGCACAGGTTGAACTTTCATTTCCTGGCTGCGAGTTTCCTTGTCCGACAACCAACTTTGACGTCTTAAAGAGTAAGGGAGGACTTTGTCAGAACAGCAGTCCGGGTAAAGTCCCAACGAGGCGTGGCACGCATAATTCACTGTGACACAAATAAGGAAACCAGAGCAGCGGAGTCCACAAATTCAAAACAAACCTGGGAGGCCTAGATCAACTTTCAGTTCCTGACACAGTTTTTACTGTTTTATAGGGACACCAGGGCAAAACCTTTCTGAGTATGGTGAAATTGTATGAAACGGATTAACTTTTTGCTAAATGTTGCAAAAAATATAATTTAGACCTGGGGGCTTGCCAATGGGCTTCGTTTGTGGCAACTACCCTTTAGGCCCGCATGTTGCCATCCTGTATAATAGAAATTAGAACTAACCAGCTAAAAGGAGGCAATAAAGATATTCTCAGGCTTGACAGCGAGGATTTTAGACACTGCCTCAATGCTTCCAACTATGCCCTGACTAATCAGTTGAATTTTGGAAATAAATGATTGTCGCTGTAAATGTTGCGTGAAAGAGAAGCAGGGTTGTGTGCGTTTGTGTGTGTGCGCATTGGATGTTAATTGATGAGAGTTATAGAGAGCTGCTAGTAGCACAGGGGGGATCATTACTGCTGGAGTGGAACAACTGCATTCACGGCTGCTTGCTATGTGTCATACACGCTCACGCACACACGCACACACACACGCACACATACACACACACATCAAAAGGAACACCAACCTCTTGCTTTCCCTTTTGCATCATTTTTTTGTAGACTGTAACTGCTCAGCCCCACAAAAAGACACAAGTAAATGATTACAGCACTACCTGTTCAATGAAAGAAAATACAAACACGTGGAGAAAAAAAAAAGAAAGAGCAAAGATAAATGTCACTGTTTCTTTCCCTTCAAATCTGACATCTTAAAAAAAATGTTATTTTGGGTTGACATAATGAGGAAAACAAACTATTATTCCTGTGGCATTTCCCATTTTTGAACAGTTTGTGGGAATGTGTGTGTGTGGGGGGGCGGGGAATGCAGCCACTTTGGGTTAAAGGATTTAGGTCATACTTTAACTGACTGGCTGACATCAGAACAGCAAGACAGAAATCCTGGAGTGGACTTAAATCCGACTCAGGAATGACTGACACTTGAGAAAGTCAGGCTGACAAAATGAGGCGCTTCTGTGTTGTTAGTCAACCTGCCATCATGACCTAAATTTTCATACCTTGTTAGCGTGAGTCATTCTTTTGTCTTTTATGCACACAAATACAATGCGTGTGTATCATATATATATATATATATATATATATGGAATTGCCTGAGCATTTGTTCTTTGTTGGCGGGGAAAATGCCTGTATGTTCATGCTCATCATTGGGATGTGGAAATTGTCCAATTCACTCCTGCTTGTGCCATGTTAGTTCCCTGTTGGAGCTACTGTCACTTCACCGGCAATTTAGACACAAATGTGCAAACAGAATAATGATTTTGGTAAAGAACATTTGTAAAAAACAATTGTATGATCATTTAAAAACGGTGTATCTGTTCCTTTAAACCATCTACACAGCATGAGAAAGAAGACAAAGAAACAAAAAGGAAAAAGTGAGAAACACTTAAAAACCATAAAGAAACATGTAAACTCAGATGCGTACCTCCAGCAGCCAAGGTTTAAGTTTGCGGTCCAGGATGATGTCAAAGCCCAGGACCTCGAAGCAGACGCTGTCGCTCCCTGGTGGCTGACCGGGGCGACACATACGGTAAGCGTGCAGCACGTGGGGTTCGGCCACGATCAGTGTTTTCACCACAAGCTCCTGGCAGAATGAACAAACACAATCAGCCACTGAACAGAGGCAACATAATTATTTTCTTTACCGAGTTTCATTTAAATCAAGAGACCACAGAGACGATTAGAGGTCTTAACTGTATATTCCAGCTGTAGGCAAATGACTTTAGATTTAAAAACGCCACAGACATGGACCTGAAACCTATGTAGCCTCTCCAGAGTTGAGGGCACAATCAATGCAGAAAAACAAGCTTTATGAACAGTTCCCCTATTTCTCTCTAAGTTTAAATGCAGAAGTGAATCACAGTCTATTTGTATCACGAACATTTTTGAATTTCCAACACAAAGTCTTCATCCGGTGCTGGTAGTTGTCCATCTGTGCTGCTCGTGGCACCCAACCTGTATGCATCTGTGCTTGCCCTTGTGTTTTCTGGCTGCTACCTTCTAGCATGCCCCACTGTGTAACGGTGGCAAACGTACTCAGTCTGACACACGCGCACAAAGCTTCCCCTCACCAGGCAATCCTCATGCCGGGCTGCTGGCCTGCAGTTTTGCCCAGTCCAGTCTGAATGCTGGGTGCAGGAGAGTGGGTAGGCTGGCCTGGCCCTGGCCTGATAAGGCTGAACTCCCTCCCTCCCTTTTCAGGCTGTGTGCTGCTCATACTCCTCCATCTATAAGTCACTCCATCTACTTGTTTGACCCAAAGGCTGCTCAGCTCAAACACCTGGTCCCCCTACCACCATCTATGCCCAAAGTCCCAAGTACTGGCGCGTGTGTTTATGTGTGTGCGCGGGCCTGTGTGTCCTTTGTCCTTGCCCACACCACCTCTCTCTTTATCCTGGGCCTCCGGCGTTGGCCACTGCCTAGCACCTCATGTTTGTGCATGTGTGCCTGTGTCTGAGCTTCACTGATTCTTTAAGCCTCAATCATTTTTTAAATGTGAATATTGGTTTATGTGCCATTCGAATTTTGCTATCAAATCGTATGTTATGCAATAATTCATTTAATTTCGGACTGTCATTCTAACAGATGATCCACCTTGGATTTTCCTCACATTGGGTGGCTTCATTTTTTTTAACAAGAGGCAAGATGGAACAAGCCGTGCTAAAATGCTCTAAAATAGTGCATAAGAAAAAAAGATATTCAATTTGTGATGTATAATCCTCTCTATCATAAAATAGTAATATTCATAAGAACTTTTCCAAGTGCTTCAATGTCGTTGATACTTCCAAATACTTACCAAAGAAAAATAAATGAATAAAAATGCCAAACGGGTTACTTTAACAAGGTTGTCCAAGGTAGCTGCTGCATTATACTGATAAAAGCAAAGCAAAATCTCCTTTAAGATTCTAAGATACTTTTTTTATTTGAAAAATAAAAGACATGTCCTTAGATACTGTTGCCTTTATGTTGTATGTATGTGTGCTTGCTAGCAAATAGAAAAAACATTACTAAACAATTTGTTGTAAGATCAACCTCTAAAATCCCCCCCCCCCAACATTGAAAAGCTGCTGCTTTGCTGCTCAAACCTTGGCCCCATTCAGCATGGACATCAATAACATCTCAACATAAAAGAGAGGTCAGTGTTTCACATGAAAAAAAAAAAAAACACAATCCTCTTAACCCTCACAATCTTTTGGCAAACAAACCCTGACTTTCTGACCATGACCATTTACAGCAAGAGCATGGTGAGCCTACGATGCCAGTGCAGGAACAAAATGTCAGAAGAAATTAAATAAAAGGAGAGGAGGTGAATGAGCTGAGTTAAAACAAAGCAGCGTGTTAGTGTGAATGAACAGCACAAACACCAAAGACGTGCAACTTTAGAAAATGAGGGGAAATGAAAATGGTGAACAAAATAAATTCTTGCCGTCTGGCTGAGGGAAAGGATGAAAAAAAGATGATAAACAGAAAAATAACTAAGTGAAAAAATAAGCTGCATAGTCCAAAAGAAATGCAAGTGCATTTTCTGAAAAACAGCACAAGGACAGATTGCACAACATGGATAAGAGAGAAGAACAAAGACGAACAGTAAATTATTTGAGAAGTGCGGCAAGTACAGGCAAATAAAAAAAAATCAAATTTTATGTTTAGAATCAAATAAATTTCCTTTAAATGCAGGTATCAACCAATTTCTTAATTTTGTTGTGAAGGGCAGAGTGAAAATAGGGAGGAAAGTGGAAAAAACCTACGCAGTGGGACCCCGAAAAAAAAACAATATTTTCTTCACAGACGAGGTTACTGGTAGACAGGAAACGCTCACCCTCTAGGAATGATGTTTCCACTGAGCTCTTCCTGGAATGAAACAATCTCCCTGAATCTCACTGTCATAACAAATCATATCAAGCCCTCGCTGGTCCACTTGTGTATTATCTGCAGCATGTGTTGGTTAGTGGAAACAGTCTGTGTATAAATGAGAGTTAACTGTGAGGTGGCACGATCGGCTGTTGTTTAAATTTTGGGAGCATTTGGTGTTATCACCCCACGCATCCTTTGCCTTTGTGGAAGCACGGATGCAACATAACATGTCTGCGTGTAGGTGCATCTGTTCGCAACACACTGTGTGCACTACAAACGCACCGAGATGTCTCCCCAGAACTTGGCCACATCGTAGTCACTGGTGCGGAGGAACTCTGTGAACCAGCTGATGGACCTCTTGCTGCCTTTGTCCACCGTCTCATCTCGCTCAAAGTTCTCATTGTGTTTGTTGACTGAGTAGTTTGTCAGATGCATGTAGAGCTGGCTCTGTGGACACACAAAAAAAGGAACCAGAAAGAGAGATTTTTATTATATAGGGGCCAAAGTTTAAATGCTGAATTTATTTTGCAATACTCGTGGCTTCCAGATTTACACGTTAGTATTGTGGTCATTTTTACTCCACTGGGAAATTATAGAATACACTATCCAATGACAAGTTATCAAAATGATTGATGCATTAATTATTTGTGGTGTAAAACCAGTAAATGTCATTTTATAAGCTCAGAGCAGATGTCATTTTTTTAAAGTTTTTGATGCATACTAACTCCTTTACCTTATTTCCTTTATATAATATTGTGATTGAGAAATTAAGCCCTTTGTTGCCTGGATCCTACATTAATGCTTGTTAATTGCTTAAAACAACTGCAACACCATATTGATGAAGAAAGAAAATTGGCCTCAGCAGGAAAAACAAACCTCAAAAATAAAAAAATATGTGTTTATAAATCAGTCACAGGTCTTCACAACTTTAAATACTCCGTAGTTAGTGCTGCAGTGCCCCAAAGTTTCCACAGTACGCGGCTAAAATGCGTCTTTGCATATTGTAGCTGCTCACTTTATATAACCCTTGTTGGATGCCAGACTTTAAACACCATCCCTCGCAACTAGGGACAATACATCCTTGTCTTTAGCCTACAGGGATACAACACTGTGCCCCTGATGGCTGTCTGGGAGCCACTCTCTGTGGAATTGAACATCCATCTCCATGGCATGACTCACTCCATCATGTGTCACACACTGACTAAGACAATACAAACTTGGGTCTCAGGAGGGGTCCAGGGCGTCTATGTGTGTGCGCGTGTGTGTGGGAGGGGTTGTGTGTTCATGTTTTAGCTAAGCATCTTGCTTGATGGGAGGCTGTTTGTGTGTGTGTGTGTGTGTGTGTGTCAGTGTTGTACATCACCTCATCTGCAACAGTCTGTGCTTCAGCAGGTGCAGAACCTCAAGGCAAATTGTGAATTGTTTGATATTACAGAACATACTGTACATCTGGTATGTGGACACTTCTGCTCAGCTTTGTGCTTATGGGACATTATGTGCTTGTGTGAGGGTGAAACACACACACACAAACATGCATAAATCGTATAAGGTCTACACTTAGACCACTCAAGTGTCTCTTTAACCTTGTGTTCATAAATGAGTTTCTCTCCAACACGGAGGTTCAGCTGGTTTATCGTTGCCACAATGTTTCTCTCCTTTTTCTCTACAGCCATACACTGATGAACATATTGGAGGGGGAATGTGGGTTTCAGCCCATGTGGTGGCATAACACAATAATCTCCCACTGAAACAGCTTCACTGGTACTAACAGGCACGTCTACTGTGTGTGTGTGTGTCTGTGTGAGTGGCATACCAGGTTGGCCTCGCTGGGTGCGTGGTACTTCTCTGTGCCCATGCGGACCAGGCCATCATTATAAAGAAAAATCCGAAGCGGGTCACAGGAAGTCACCAGGATGTAGATGCGCAGGTCAAACTTGTAGCCCTCCATCAGAAAGGGCTTATCCAAGTACTCCTGAACGATAAAGTGTTCCTGGGCTGGAAGCTTCTCGCAGTTTCGGATAAGCGAGATCCTGGATCGACAGAAACTTTATTAGTCCTCGGGGGGGATATTATGGTAGCATAATAAAATATGGCATGGTAAAGACAAAAAGATAATTAAAAAATGATAGATGGGAGCATAGCAGACACCATGAACATGACTGATGACATTGGTACAGTCTTATATTCATGATGAAGCCAAGAATGGAGGCAAACAAGATACCAATTTTATGTGGTTCATTATAATATTTCATTTCAAAGTCATCTGGAAAAGCTGAGGACATATTTCTGATGTGCCACATCTGCCTACCCTACTTTTCACATGAATAACTCTATTCGTATTTACTAAATCAGATAGTTACCAGGTATAGTATAGTTGGAGATATAGTGCCCTGATGTTGTTTGTGTGACCTTCTACCCCAACAGTCATAAGTAAAACATTTAATGAGGGCACTTAAGACTAAACTATTTCCAAAAATGTTATTGTGTATGTTACTCGTCCATTTAATTGACACAGTTAAAAGAAAAAAAAACTAATGTGCACTAAACAGACAGGCACAAATCAAATTATGGTATGTTTGAGCCTCTTTCTGGAAGCATCTGGAGAACATTGTATGTATGCGTGTGTTTGTGTGTGTGTGTGTGTGTGAGTGTATGTTTTCTTTTTAGCCAAAATCTCACTCCGCCTGAATGGCACATTGCATCAAACGCTCTGGTAGGGTTTTTAAGCTGTGCGCAGGTTAACAAGACCAGACACACTGCTCTGTTTCAACCTCCGCCCAAATTCATTTGCTTTGGTCTCATGTCACTGGCACTCAGCTCTTATGCTATGCAGACCAATACCAATGCGCCCTGCACCAAAGAATGAGTTGTGCTAGTTTGCGGACATCCATGTGGCTGTGCAAGGGGGGGTTGCATCTTTAAAATTGTGTGTCTCAAAGAGTGAGCCTGTCTGCATGTGTGTGGACTTTGTATGTTGCAGGGTGGGTGTGGGGCCATTTCTAAACAATCTTCTACTATGTACAAGTAACGCAACTGACCTATATCACCATCACTCATAGTTAAGGCAGGCAGAGGCTAAATTGGTAACATGCGCAGCCTGAAGGGCTCCGGTGTAGACATGAAAGCAAAGCAAGCGCAGCACATACACAAACCTCAGTCTTAGTCGATATGCTCAAAAAGTGTTTTTTGAGCTATGAAGATATTGTGGCAAAGAGTCAGAGGGGCCGGGATTATTTAGGGTTCCTAAACAGCTTGAAAATGTAGTCGACATGGTAATAAATCTTTTTAAATAAATAACCTGCTTGGTTAACGGTACCAAAGCAAACACACCATGCTGATGAGCTTAAAAAGAGGCTTTACGGGTAAGAGAGCAAATCAAGTTTCTGAGCACTCCTCCCTTCACAGGTTTGATTAAACTTGCAGTTCCATTTCAGTGTCAGGAAGCTTTCACTCCTGCCAACTAAGTAACTTCTCTCTTCTACACATGAGCACTTCATTGGCCTGCTTTCGCTCACTGTTCGACGAGAAAAAGCAGGGGGACGTTGTTTGAGGGCTGACTGACGATGTGGGGCAGACAGCGAGCTGAATGATGAGGACAGGGTTAACAGTGTTAGTTAGTCGAGCAGAAGTAGCTGAGGAGAAGACGACATGATTGATGAGCCGGGGTGGCAGATAATCACAGCCCACTCTCCCCTGCCTATTTAATTTGGCACTGGAGGGGCGCTCGCCTTTTTAAGTGTTGCACGCGCTTTTATTTTGTTTCCCTTATAACAAGCTGGGCTTCAGACATAAACAATAACTTCATTTAGTTGGCCGTCGGAAAAATAAATTACAGGGGGTAGATATAACTTAATTTCCTGCCGCGTCACACCACGGAAAAAAAGAGAGAAAAATCTAATCTTGTGAGCTGCCTGCCATTGAGTGGCCGAGCTAAACTCATCATCTTTCATATTCCTAATGTATTGCAATAATTCAGCCTTTATTCTTTAATAAATAAGGGCTTAGTGCAGCATGGAGTTATAAGTAATGCTCCCATTATACCAGAAAGGACAAATTCAAAGAGAATTAGAGAGAAAAGGTGAGGCGCACACAGCTATTTGTACTTCAATATCCCCACCTATTGGTGTGGCTGATGAAAGCAGTTCAAAATATTTCTCCATGTATTCACTTGTATTTTCAAATAACCTGGAATACCTCAAGAAGAATACAGAGTCAATATATGACAATCTAAGGAATTTCAACACATCCAAGAGTGTCAAGTAGCAGCACACTTACAGGCAACAGTATACAGAAATTAAAAATGTGTAGCCACACAAATTGTGTCCTTTGTCAGAAATGAATGCAAGAGGCCAAAGGACCATTCTCACAGTTCAGGAAAAAAATGGGATTTTAACTCTCAGGAAATCACAATGCACAATGAAAATGCAACATCACAACCTCAGGTTCTTCTTGGCCCATGAGGCTGCAGGTATGAAATATGCATCGAGGTACCACAGCCAGCTGTTCTTTTGATAAAGAGATGCTATTGAGAGACAGGAGCCCCTGCAGGAGCCATCTTTGTCCATTTTCTAGTCTCACTGGTCTCTGCTGATGGTGCCTCATAAAAGAATCCAATAATGACATGCATAGACCTTCAGGGAAGAAACTACAGTAACTGCCAGGGACTGTGTGTGTATGTGTGTGTCCTCCCGCTGGCAAAGATAACCTCTGATTTATGGGAAAAGTGACCAAAGAGGACAAAGAAGCCAACAAAGACGCTTGCCACACCTCTTTAACTCCAATACCCAAACTGGTATCATCACACCATTTCCACTGACAACCAAGCCAGGGTTGGAAACCTTATTGGCTTGTTTTGTTTTTCCTTGTCTTCTGTTCTACAGCTAATTTCCCTGGTCTCCCTTACCTTTCTCTCCCCTCTGTTAGCATTGTTGCCAATATCTATAACTACCTCTTGGACACTTGCTAGCCTCTGACATACCCATGGCCCATGGCTCCGTTGGCTGGTTTGACAATGAAGGTCTTTTGCTTGCGTTTCCTTCGTAACTCCTTTACATAGTTCTGGAACTGAGTGTACTCGGCAGGGAAGATCCAGGTTTTGGGTATGAAGCTGTACTCTTGAGGCTGGCACTTGATCATTCTGTGAAAACAAAGTTAAGAACAAATATATGAGAGGAAATTCCAGTACATTTCATACATTTAGAATGATCTTCAGTCCTGCTTTCCTATTGTTTAGTTTTGGAATTGAGGGGTTTAGCTTCGTGCTGTAGACTCTAAAAGATTAACGTTTTCCTCAGAGCATTGCCTGTTTATTTGGCCTGGAACTGAGGAGCGCTACCAGCTGCACCTTCGGCATCTCAAACTCAAACTGATCCGGCATAGTTACATTTATGAGTTTAGAGAGACAGTAAAAACTTACTTGGACATGTTTCTTGCAAGGCAGTCTTTCCGGCAGATTTCGCCCATGCCAGGGAAATGGTTAATTCTCTGCAGAGGGACGGGCAGACATAATAATGTTGTTAGGACCATTACGCCACTCAATTCCACCCCCGCCCCTTCATAAAAATAGGCACATTAAAGGCAGCAACCTGAAGTGAGCTTACAATGTTCTGACATTTATGCCCAATTACAGACTCAAAACAAAAAGGTGACGCTGAGACCTTTCTCAACCCTTATTTAGTTTACCATGTTTTCTTTTTTTTAATATACTTTAAAGGTTGGGGAGGAAAGAGGCAAGAAAAAAAAAACAATCAATCTCAACTCAGAGGGGCCAAGGTAATTGGTTCTGCATCACAGGCTCCTGCGGTGACAGTTGAATGAATTGCTTTGAATGTGCCGAAAGGGGGGGTGGATGTAAAGGAAAAACTCTGGGTTTTCTGTATTCTTTGACCAAATGAGCCTGAACAGGGGCATTAATTAGGCTCATATGAACTGAGGTTTGACAGCAAACTCTCACAGTACATCACTAAAGCAGAAAAAAAGAACAAAAAAATGAGCACATAAAGGAAGTAGCAAAAGCGAAGATAGAAAAAAGAGTAGCGGGTGTATAAGGAATGCCTGATTATTATCCAAACGAGACAGACATAATTAGGGATTCGAAAGAGATTGCACAATTATGCCAATGCCACAAGACCAAATGGCGAGTGAGCAGAAATCAGAACCAATTGTTGAGGGACTTCGACTTCTCCTCTGAGAAATTATCTCATGCAACACCATAGCGGCACGAGAAGCCAAGAGAGAAAAAACTAACAGCCAAGCATCAGCTGTCAGTGAAACATTAGCCATATTACAACATGTTAAGCTGTTACACTATTTGTAATATCCAGTCTACTTAGCTGAACTCTTGCTGCCCCTATCCTAACAAGCCATACTCCTTCTGACTGGCCCTGTGATTTAATCGATCATTAGTGCCCAGTCTAATCAAATAAGCACTTGGGAAGATGGATTGCTAATGCTTAGAGCTGAAGGAGAGCAGCCGAGTTCATTCAGCAGGACAGAGGGGTCAAACAGAGGTAAAATCGCTCAGACCGGGAAAAAGAATTCAGAGCAACCCTTGTTGTTTTGACTCATCTTATCAGAAACAAAAGTGACATGTGAAACCAGCCCCACCAGCTCCTGCAGCTCACAGCTTGTCAGTCCACCTGTCAATCCTTCAATCTCCATGTTGCCTCTCACTGTGCCCACCAGTAGTGCCTATGTACTGTGTACTGTGAGCGAACGGAGATGTGCAAATTCAGAAAAGTCTTCCCATTCAAATATTTACAATTTCCCCTTTTTTTGCATGCGCCATTCTGACAGAATCTTCTATTCTAAATCCATTTTTGCAGCAACGTCTATCGCATATTTCGCCATTTTGCCCCGGGGTTGTCAATCTGCTCTCATCTCCATTTCCTTTTCTTCTTCATCTCTAGCAAAGACTGAGTGAGTTACATCATAAAACTTCACCAGCCTTCATCTGTACATCTCAGCTCAGAACGCATCCCCACAACAGACTATTTCGAAAGTTTGGAAAATTCATTTTTAGTTTTTGTTCCCAGTTAAAATCTTTTAAGAGAGGGGAAAAAAATCTGTTTTTATCCTCCCTTTTTTCCACACCCAGACTTCCATCTATCCATTTACTATTTATGGTTCAGCGTTGCAGAGGGTTGGAGCCTATACCAGCTGCAATGAGGAGGGGTACATCCTGATCGATCAGCTGAACTTTATATGCTTTCTGATCCATCCACAGGGAAAACCTGCTAACTCCACACAGAAAGGGAGTGTCATATGTTTTTCTCTGTGTGCCTGAGCTGCTTTTAAAAACTTAAATAATGTTTTAATTTGGGCTGAAATATGCATATGTATATGAAATATGCATTTGTATACGGTGAATGTTTTATGATTTGCACTCCAGCTAGTAAACAACTTACCGGTAAATGTTCATGTTGATTTTGATGATTATTTGGTTTATTAATAATTGAAAAAAATCTACAAAATATGTAAATGAAATTAAAGAAGAAAAAAGAAAAGGGGCAGTTAAAATAGCTTAAGTGTTTTTGTGTGTTTCACTGTCATTTACATCGTTTTGTCTCATTCTCTTACGCACATATTGGTTTATTAATAGATAATAAAACTTTTTTTTTTTTTTACAGTGAAACACCAGTTCGCTTTTAAATAGCGACCTGGTGCCTTTCTGAGTTCTTCTACAAGCTCCCTTCTTCTCCATATTTGACTGTTGGATACTGAAATGTGAGGAAGTGTGCAAAAGCTGGACCCCACATGGCTCCTTCAGGTCACCTGCACACTTCACTGGCTTTACGTACCTGATAGTTCCTGAGCTCAGCGATTTTCTCATGCTGCACGGCTGAGTCATTCCAGATGAGGTTTGCAGTCTCATCGTCATCACGTGCCTTGATGAAGTCCATCTCATTGATGGCTATACGAACTGGAAGGAACCAAACCGCTCATGTCAGCTTCTATTGTACTTACAGATTGGGCTATGCAGTCTCTTAAATAAAAATGATTTTTTTCCAGGACTAAGTAGCCATATACATGACAGCAAAGCAACTTTGATGCCATGTAAGGTGGAAAATGTGACATGTCATATCACTAGGAGCTGTAAATCAAAGACGTCTGCGTTTCCTTTGCCAGGCTTAAATGTTTTCGCATTCATTAAGAGATTTCAGTCTGGAGGCTTATAAATCAAAAGGCTTGCAGCAGTATTTACCATTCATGGTATGGTTGCAAAGCAGCTAGTCCTAATGCCTCTCTTGAAAAAGATAAATTAATTGACTGTAATGCATTCAAGTCCCACTGGAAACCCCATAGGATGAGAGATAGGTGGCAGCCCGTTTGGACATTAATCCAACAAGTATTCATTATTCAGGGAGTAATGAAAAATTCATATGCCCTAACGAAACAAGGTATTAATTAATTTCTTGAAAGCTCCTACAAACCTGGAGAAGCCTTGCCTAATGTTGTGTGATGGCACTTGAATGGGAAAAAGATGCGCCTGATGTGACTTCATTCATCTCTTAACCTCAGTAAAGACTAACGGTGTTTTTTTTTTCTAACTGGAACTAGGAGGGTTTACTTCACAGCAGGCATAGGCTCACAGTTACCAGCAAGGTAGCAGCAGAGCTATAATCAATCCTCTCTTACACATCTTACAAAATAGGCATCTTAAGCGCCAGAGTTTACATTCCCTCCTCAGTGGGTGTTCACAAGATTTCCAACACCATTTTCCTAGACCTTTAACCTTCCCCGAGATACCATCAGTTCTGTAACACAAAAAGACAGGTGCAAAACAATAGAAAAAAAAAGAAAACGGAAAAAACAAGACATACATCTGGGCCGTGGTTTTAATTTCCCCCCGAAATGGGCCTGAACAGCCCTCGGAACGGCCACTGTGAGGGTCTCGCCACAGCTAGCTGACTGGCTCACAGCTGGACTTCCGTCTACCTACAGAATTCCAGCAGCTTCCAACTTCTTCTTGCTGCTGCTGACTCCATAGTTTCATATGTTGTAGTTCACCCCTGAGAGCTCTGCTGCCACACAGTATATTGAACCTGCGAGGAGTGCTTACAATGCTCTTTTAGCCAATCTCAAAAACCTCACTGCCAAGTTAAATTACCTCAACAAAGATTTCTGTATGTATATAAGGCTTTGCCGTCTCTGTCTCTGTGCACTGTTTAGCTGGATTGCAACTTTTTAAAGGCTCAAGACATTGAATAAGAACAAACTCCCTAAAAATATCTGATACGAGAAATTAGGTTTGGTTTGTATTTTTGGTGCTTCTACTGACTCCACTGAGTGTGCAAAACTGATGGCAGTTCCCTCAATTAGTATTCAATCCACTGTGTTACAGCATCTAAATCTTCAGTACAAAACCATTCAACATGTTGGTTCCATGCACTTGTGACACTTTTAATGGGAATTTGAAACTTGAATTTCTAAGACCTTTCATCTATTTCTGAGTGGCTTTACATAACAAAACAAGCTGCTGTTCATTGTGTGCTTGCTTGTGATTCTGATACTGAAAGAGCAATAATGAAGGCAGTCAGAAAGCCCTGCCACCAAATACTGATGCTGAACAATTTTATGTCTCTCTGTTAAATGGAAGGACGTCATCCACTATTATTTACAAAACTAGCAGGACTTTTTCCATTCTTCTAAAAAAAAAAAAGTCAAAGACAGCAATCTGTTATCTATTTTAGCAGCTACTGGGAACTGCTTTTATCCCTGTCCGACATCTTTGTTCTTCATTTTTACAAACTGTTGTTATATTGTTAGAGAGTTGTTGATATCACAATGGAAATGGCAATACCGATTTCGTATTTGGTGCCAGCGATATTGGCAGTGATGGTGCCTTTCTTCTTTTTGGTGCGCACCTTCCTCTTCCCGCTGCTTCGGTAGGAGCCCACAGATGGCCCGTTCACGGGGGACGCTCCTTGATCCTCTGGAGGAGAAGGCAGACAACAACATTAGATATAGTCACAGCCTGTGCCTTCCAACGTGTGGGGAACATGAGCCTTCTAATGTACTTTCCTTATGTCTGCAGGGGATTTAGTGGGGTTTGTTTGTGCTGCTAGAATGTGAGCGGATTATACATCAAGTCTGGAGTTAACTCTATGAATCATGATCCTTAAATTATGATGTCTCACTGTGTACTTATGCATTCAACACTGTTTGCTTATGGACATGTAAACTAGCCAGCTAAAACAAAGGCAATGTCAGTCCTGAGAGACATCAACTTGGGTTACTCACCTCCATCATTTGGGGGGGAGGGCATCTCAGGGGCTACAGGAGGGAATGGGCGAGCCAAGCTTTCTGCCAGGCTTGGCAGGCCGGCTTTACAGAGGGCTACCAGCACCCTCCAAGGATTTTCTCAAACTCGGACTAGTTATTCTTCTCTGTCCGGGGCTGTGTGGATGGTGTGGTTCAGAATAGCCCAATGGATCATCTGAGCATCTCCTTGGCCCCCTTCAGCAGCATAAGCAACAGAGTTTGAGTGGGCAGGGGAGTCAGAAAGGGCTGGTGAGGAAGCATATGAGGGGGAGGACTCCTCAAGGATCTTCACAACCCAAGCTTATTTACAGTCCCAAGGGGAGAAAGGAAAGGAGGGGGTTGCATAGAGGGGGGTTGGGGGGGGGGGTGGAGAAAAAAACCTGTGGAGAAGAGGAGAAAACATACTTCACAGCTGCAGAGAAACAGTGTTGGCTTGACCAATCACAGATAGGCTGCAGTGCACGGTGTGGATAAGTGTGTAATTTCTTACTGCATTGGAGTGAACTGGAGCATCAACAGCAGAATTCAGGCCTAACACAGACTCCGTTTGACTCACTGGATGTGGAAATTTATGGCAGCTCTGGCACCACAAACAAAATACTGCGAATCGGTGCACTCTGCCTTCCAGAATCACTGGTATCTGATGGAAGTATTTCTGTGCTCGCGTAGAGCGAGTGTTTTCAGCCCCCCGCTGCGCTCGTGCTAGCTGGGTTTAATTGTGTGTCTGCATCATCGCTACGTTCAAACAGATGGTCTCTTTACAGTAGTTTGTCAAAAAGAGACCCCCAGCTATGAACAGAGGGGAAATTACTACCACACACCAGCCAACTTCTGTTACTTTTTGGCTCTGGTCAGTGAGATGCGTCTTCGAGCCCTTTTTGGGGTAATCCCATCAACATTAAGGCTCTGAAAACATAGTGGCTAAAAAACGGGGCGAAGAAATCGTGACAAAGAAGACAAAATTGTTTGTAGGCATTTAAAATGCTAATCTTAGCAGACTCACTGTTTAACTGGACAGCTAGGCCACATATTAAGTGGTGAAACCGAGAAACCTTTTAATTTTATGGGAAAAGACTAGTTCAGTCTTAATTTGTTGCCCAAAGCACAACAGGCCAGTAAATTTATCGGGTCTATCTAACAATAAAAAGACTACCACAAAGAGAGTAAGTCCGTTCACCACTGTGCAAATACAGGTGTAGTTTAGGAACAGTGTGTTAGTACACTTGATTGCACAGGTGAGATAAATATAGATAGCAGTAACTCAGAAAAGCTCAATGATAAAGGCCAGTCGAATGATGGCACTTTGTGTGCAAACAACTTACCTCAGCCAGTGAATGAACATTTATAGTATATCCGAGAACACAATCTTAAAACTCAAAATTATAAAACTCAAATTAATTCAAGACTGTTTGCAAGTAATTTAAAGTAATTTAAAGTTAATAAAGTTACCAGTATAAACCTTCTATTTAGTGGTATTTCATGGTAATATGGCGATATTAAAGCTGATCATGTGCATGAAATATTTACACTGTGAGACATTTTATAAACAAGCAAACTTTTTTCTTTTTTTTTATAACAGGAAATTGCAGGATGTCTCCATCTTTACTACTTTGATAAAAAAAAATCATTAAAAAACAACATAAAATCTGGTCTTAATAGTAACCTAGTAATAGAATATTAATAATATATTAATATGAGTTTTATTTAAATAGCTCGGCTTGGTGGTTAAAAATGCTTCCGGAGAAGTGACTCACCAGTTAAAATAAGTGCATTTAATAAATTCGATATACTGTAAATAAACATATCTGGTAAAGTAGTAAAAAAGGGAAACACTGTCATCATAATTTTTGTTGTTTTTTTTGTTGTTGTTTTTGCTTTCAGTACGATTTTTGAAATACAGTATGCATATTCATACATGTAAATCACGTCGCTCCATGTATTAACACAGAAGAAGCCACAATCAGTTCGGCTCCGATTGGCTTATGTGGTTACAACCCATTAACAAATCGTCTGACCAATGCAAAATACTCCAGAACAGTGTTTCTTTTTTAAGGGGCAGTAAGCCAAGTAGTCTTAATATACACTTTTTAAAACTTTTTATCTGTGATTCTTCTACTCAGGCATCATGAATCGCAGGCAGCTTGAACATGTCTTTGGATTTTATAAGGAGGTCGACAGTGGCCTCTAGTGTTGGAAGTTAATTTAAAATGTCTCCCTCCTTCCAGTGTTTACTGTCCACACATTTGGCCTTACTGGGGGATACGTCGAGACACACAAAAGGAAGCTTCCAAACCACACTTATAACTTCTATCCAAAATCACCTGGAAAAATCTGAATCGGGAAACATTTCGATTGTATTGTTCGATCACTCACTTCAACGAGTTTAGCAGTGAAGTGAAGAGCAACAAATAAAGAGTAAGAGGGATGAAGAGAGGCAAGCTGTGCAGCTGACAATCTGCCCCCCCCCATCCCCATAGTGTTCTGTGCTGGCTCTGTGCGTGTGCAGCTACGTCTGTATAAAAAAGTGCTGGCCCGGGATGCCGAGTAAATCCCCACAAAGCAGGGCAGATGCGAAAGGCAAATACCTCTCAAATAAAGCCTTAAAAAGACCCATCTTTGACAAGAGTGCACATGCATTCCCTGGCGCAGGTCACAGGAAATAAAAACAGCACAAAATCCCCAGACAACAGCTGTGATGCTAATCCTACTTGTAGAGCAAAATAATGAGGAGAGGCTTATTCAAAATTTAAGGAATAAAAGAAAGAGACGCCAGGTTCTCATATAGTTTGTCACGAGTGTTAAACACTCGGTATCCATGTTAAGTTGTTTTGCTGTTTTCCCAATTATTAGGCAAAGGATTTAGCTGTTTCTGGTCTGTCACCACCGAAATCTGTATTGTTTGGTTTGCCTGGATGCTATGTTGGATAAAACTTTTCTGCCTTTTTTTTTTCTTCTCATTTGTCTTAGTTGGTACTGGTGCTAATAAACTGCAAACTCAGTTTTTTGTCATGGTCGATTCAATATTTCACACAGTTTAAAGTATTCAGCATGTGTGGTAAAAGTGCCAAATACAGGCTGGAAAGTGCCACATCGAGGCAAATGACACCAACAACTATCCCACACACTCACGCCAAAAATTGCTTTAATCACCAGTTTAGCTAACACACATGTTTCTTGGTGGTAGAAGAAAGCCGTTATCCCCAGAGACCACCTAAAAGCACTTATAGTCTGCAATTACAACTAATTGAGTCACAATTTGACATGACAACAAAAACAAAACTGAGTTAGGAGTTAGTAGAGACCATTTAGCATTTTATCCTACAAATGGGATTAGAAAACATGATTCATTTTTGTCACTTAGCGTAATATAAAACAACAATCTTAACTAAGTCTCCTCTATTAATTCAAGCAGAGAATCAGACCTGAAATTCAACAGTGCAGTAACCATTTTCCACCAATAGATGGAGCCAAAAGACCATCACACACACACAGCTCCTGGAAATGCAGCACTGCAATGAATGCTTAGCTCATGCTTTTTCCCGTGCCAGAGCACGCTGAGGCTTCACTGTGAACAGCCAGCTCTCTGTGCTGCTCATCTGCATCACTCTCTGTTTCCCTGACCTCAAATGCAAAACAAATGCCACTCAGTTTTCCACCACAGTTTGTTAACACACGTCATTGTTTCAGTCTCACATATAGGCGCAGCTGCCGTATTTGTAGAATTATGTCTATAATATTTCGAAGAGTTATGGTTTGACACACTAGAGCTTTACATAAAGACATTATACCCCCCCCCCCCCCCCCCCCCCCC